CTTTCCTATGGCAGCTGTATGATATTACATTCGTTAACTCCACCCGGGAGCATAGAGCCTCTACAGTTTTAAAGAGGATTCATTTACCGTTGGTTTACGATCGTACAGGTGATAAGCCAGTAGCGACTTGTCCCAGCGGTGGCGCCATCTAGGAGTGACGATAGGTTCTGTTGTTGGGTCCATGGTAACGTGGACGAGAGGGTGTGCGGGTCCGGGGAGCCGAAATTTGTTACTAACGTTAAGTGAGCGATAGAGCATAGAAATGGTGGAGATTTGGAAAAGAGACCGTTTCTTTTTCTCGGGGAGCCTGGGACTCGACTCGAACCCGGGCCTTCCGGACCGGAGGCCAGCACTCTACCTGCTGGGCCACCGTCCCCCCCCAAATTTTTCAAAAAAAAATTTTCTTTTATTTTTTAAATGTCGAAAAAAAATTTTATGGAAAAGAGAAAAATATGGCTTAAATGCGTATTTCTAAACATTTTCAAAAAGTTATAAAAAATAAAAGACAAAATTATTTTTGCAGTTACTATTATTTTTGTTTTAAGAAACTTTTTGCATCCAAAAAGTTTAGTTTTTAAGACGAGGAAAAAAATTTAAAAAAAACTATTTATTTTTTTTTTTAAAGTGCCCTTTTCCATAAATATCGAATGAGTTAAGAAAAGTATGGTATCATGCAAACAGCATTTAAATTACTTTTTTTAAATAATCGAGGTCTTCAATCAATTTAAATATGTATTCGTAGAACAACCATTTTTTCTCCGTTTACAAAAATTTATTTACCATGTTTTTAAATTAACATTTTTTACTCTTTTTAGGTGCTATCAATCAAAAATGTACTCTCAATGAAAAGCAATTCTCATCAATATGCAGCAAATGGTTTAAAACTGTCAATAATAGAACTAAATATTATAAGTTTTAAATTTAAGAATTAATTTCAAAGATTTTCTCATTTTATATATGTAAAACTAACTGTAAATTCAAAATCCATCCTAATTTAATGATTAAAAATTCTTAAATATTTTTAAAAATTGTTTCCTGTTTTATTACAATAGATGTCTGAAAAAAAAAACTTTTTTCGGCGATTTACTACTATGGGCACTTGCCCAAGAGTTACTTAAGGTGAGTTTTCAATTTTGAGTTGGCAGAATCGTGATATCTAAAACTATTGACTATAATATATTTAAGAAGAAGAAATTTGTGCTAAACAAACAATCGTCGGAATTATTTAAGGGGGGGTAAGGTTTTAAAGGCCAAAAAAGGGCCATGTTTGATTTTTTTTTTTGCGGCGAAATGAGTAAGTTTATTTTTTGAGCTTAATCACATTTAATTGTTCAACTTTTGAAGAGTATTAGAAAAAAATTATTAAAAAATATTTTTTACCAGCAGGTAGAGCGCTGGCCTCCGGTCCGGAAGGCCCGGGTTCGAGTCGAGCCCCAGGCTCCCCGAGAAAAAGAAACGGTCTCTTTTTCCAAATCTCCACCACTTCTATGCTCTATCACTCACTTAAAAAAATTAGTAACAAATTTCGGCTCCCCGGACCCGCACACCCCCTCGTCCACGTTACTATGGACCCAACAATAAAACTTTCGTCACTCCTAGATGGCGCCAGGTGGCAACCCCACCGCTAGGATAAGTCGCTACTGGCTTATCACCGGTACGATCGAAAATCTTTGATAATGAATCCTCTGCAAGAAATTGTAGAGGCTCTAAGCTCCCGGGTGGAGTAAAAGAATGTAAATTTAGAAATAAGCCTGTGGCGGTTAATCTTCCGAAGCGCCCAAAGAAAAAGTTGTTTTGCGGTGAACATCATAGGGCGTTAACGGATCATCTTTAAAAAAAACGTGATATGCGTTGTAAAGATAATGAATTTCCCGAGGTAATCAGGAAGAGTTTTTTTAAATTTATTTTTTGTCTATTTTTGGGAGCACTTGAAAGTGAAAAGTGCGATTTTAGCTTAAAAAATCACTGTTAATTTATTTTTTAAAAATAGAAATAAACTAAAAATTAAAAAAAACTGTTCCTGATTGCCTGCGTATTTATATTGAGAATTTGTGTTAAAAATTTGAAAAGGATCGGTTCAGTAGATTTTGAGTTCTGATGTTCACCGACTTTCAAAATAACGTCTTCGGCAAAATCGATTCAAAGTATTTTTATACGTGGAAATACGGTTGTTTAAAACGCTGTAACTCCGTTAGTTTGACTTTAATTGTCTCAAAATTTTGACACAATGTTCTCGACATATTGATCATTCAGAAAAAAAAATAAAAAAAAAATGTAAAAAAAAAAATTTAAAACCTTACAAATTGTGGAGAATAAATCAAGATATTTTATTTCACAAACAAATTGACTTTACTTTTTGCCCACAGTAGTTAGTGTCTATAGCTCATTTATGTTCCTTTTCTGCTTTTTATACCCTTGCAGAGGGTGTAATTTCAGACAGAAGATCAACGCAGTAAAGGAGACACAAAGGACCCCACAAGGTATATATATTCTTGATCAGCATTACGATCTGAATCGAAATACTTCCTTCTGAACGTCTGTCCGGCTGTCCTCCTGTCTGATTCTACGTCTCTCAGTTGTAAAGCTAAGTTGTGTAGTTTACATATGTAGTGACTAGTTTACATATGTAGAAACCGACAAACGGACCGACGGACAGATGTAGGGGAGGGTGGTCCCATACCGACCGGTCGTACCATACCGACCCCCCCATGTTTCTCAGAGATGGCGATGCTAGCCGAATTGTCGGTAACTTCAGTGAAAAGCTGTTATAACACAGACATTTTGGAGATAGATAGCCACTTTGACTTATTTTGTTTCACTGCAATTTTTCCGTTTGTTTTGTTTCAACGCCTGTGACATTTATTTTTGAGCTTTACTGAACTTGAGCTCAAAGTTTTTTTTCTCCGCATAAAAATCGGAGAGAAAATTTTTCTGATCGTTGATAGTCCTAGCTTTCACTCACATAATTAGAATTACATCGCTCTTTGCGTCTTTAGTTAATGCCGAGCAGTTAATCAGAAAAGGTCGTGGTGGTCCGAAACCGACCGCTAGGTGATGGTCCGAAACCGACCCCCATTTATTGGCAGCTTAATATGTCATAGCGTATTTTTGATGGAAAATATGAAAAAGTAAACAAGATTCAGTAAAGAAAAGTAACAGAAACATCAAAAACATCAGAAGAAAGCGAAGAGACAGTCTTCAACGAGCGGCTTTCGAAAAACAACGCGAAAACTTACTATGAGAAAGAGGACAACTCAGACTTCATCAATTGACTACAGTGCCCTTTATTTCATACATTAATTTTTATTTTCTGGAAAGAACCTTCAATATATTTCTTAATAAACGTCAAAATCATTAAATTCTATTTTATGTTATTAAATTTTTCTGTTAAGAAATAGGGGATCGGTTTCGGACCACTACTTTTGAGTACGACCAAAAAGTAGAGTTTTATATTTGCCTGAATATCTAACGCTTCAAAGCACCTACGCACTTACTAATCATTTAGATGTATAGTAAACTGATCCCTCTACATAGTACTTTTTTGAACTAAACTGAAAAATTGATTTTTCTCACCTTTATCGCCTTTGCCTTTTAGGTATGGGACCACCCTCCCCTACAGACGTATTTCGATTCAGATCTAGATGGTGATCAAGAATATACGTACATATATACTTTACTACTTCTGACTGAAATTATAATACCCTTTGCTGAAAGACTGAAATTATTATACCCTTTGCTCTGCAAGGGTATAAAAACGCTCGTTAAGCCAATAAGTATTTGGGCTATTGATATACATATATTCATATATTTTTACAGTAGCGACAGAGCTTATGTATTTTTAGTATTCCGATCTTGCGATATAAAACCAACCGGCGAACTCAACTTAGAGATCTGATTTTCATACCTGATGATGCATGCTTCATATAATAAATACAACTGCTTTAATAATAAATGCATATATGCATTCGCAGTTTTGTAAAAGAAAAAATTTCATAATGTCTATTATCGTAATGAATGGCTAAATTTCGAGCAAAATGTATGAAGGTTTTTCAAAGAGGTTAAAATTTCTGTTTTTTATTAATTTTATATAGATTTATGTATCTTTCCTATGGCAGCTATTTGATATAGTGATACGATATTCATAAAATTTAATTCGAAAACGGACAGTGCTGATTATCAAAAACCTACATACATATGTATGTATACATACATACATATGTATATATGTATATGCTTAACGGGGTCTGAGGTGTCTCTTTCACTGCTTTACAAACTTTTGAGTGAAAACATAACACCTTCTCTAAGACTCTCACAACTATTTTAATGGGAGTTAATAATTTATTATTGTTAACCGAAATAGTTTAAAATGTGTGTTTAAATTAAATTGTTAATTAAAATAGCATGACACTCCCAATTTACGCCCACAAATGTCTTTTTTTTATTCGCCGGGTCCACTTAAGGACCCACCAGCCTTTCTGTCAGTCAATGAGCATACAGATTTAGTGATTATTACCAGGGAAAAAGAATTTTAAAAAATTTTAAAACCGCCCACCTTTTGTGGCACCCATTGCTTTAAAATTTCTTTGAAAATGTTTATTATAGTGATAAATTTGCATCGAATGGCGTTCTGGCACACTGCTTTCTGTATCGACGTCAAATTCATTGGGATGGATCGTGCAGATAGCTCACAATATTAAAAACTCAGCGGAGAAAAAGTTGAAATTGCTTAAAAGGTTAACACTTCACACTTGCTTAATCCGTACGCTTGTTTTTCTTTTAATTTGATTTGTTTTGTAAATAATTATTGCAGTTCACAAAATCAGGTTTATCGTTTAAAGTAATAACGGCAGAGTTATGAAATTTCACAGGAGTGAGCTAAGATAAAGTCACCACGGGAGGAAGGGGGTCCATTTATCGTGAAATCCCTATAATGTGCACCAGCTGTGTCAGGATCCGCCTGTTCCATTATTGTCAAAAGTCTTGACCCTTAACACAAAAAGTTTTTAATTTTTTATCGGTTTTAATGGAAGAATTTACAGTTCTCTTAACATAGATTACAATAGATTTGATGGTAATATATATTTATAGCGTTTTACATATGTATTATTTCTTAATAGCATTTAACACAGAGAGCAGGGTACATATTATTTAATAACAGAAATTAGCTGTAATTAACTAAAATGTCAATGTTTTATTATTTGTACATACTCGCAAGGCGAAGACCTTAGACTTTTAAATATGTGGTGAAATACAGACCCATGCGAATGGGACGCTAGATTTAACTTTTACATGACTCGTCCAAATGTTTTGAATAAAATATTTCGTTTCTTAATTTACAAAATGTTTATTTTCTCCTGTGCAAAAACATCTACAATAATAAGCATAGTACAAATATTTTGTTATAGATGGATTTCTTATCTTGGAGACTAGTAATCAACGAAAGGCGAGGGCGGCAGCACTGCTTACAGTGCGGCAGCACTGCTTACAATGAACTTATGTTCATTTGTTCACAAAGAACGCCGGATTTGGTGACAGGTTTTGTGGCATCGTTATTATGTTGCCCTGTTGCTGGTGCATCTGCTGTTGCTGCTGACTTCTGGTGTTGGTGGCATAAAGTTGTTGCTGGAAGCTGTGGTATTGCTGTGCATACTTTAAATCATTCGAAGAGGGACCCACGAAATTGATCCCAGAGACGCCGTTAGAAGGACCAATAGCTCCGGCAGTCGACATTATATTAGTATTGCTGGGCCCCATCAAAGGCTGTCCCTGCCCTTGCCCTTGTGCTATTGCAGGGCCAACTCCCAAGCCCGTTTGATTTTGGCACATTCCGCCGGACATGGTCTTCAGGTGCTGTGGCTTGGCTTGATTGGACTGTTGTTGTGTTGCTGCAAACATAACAGAGCCGGAACTGTTGCAGGTGGCGTTGTTAAAAAACGAAGTGGGATCTCCGCAGTCCAGACCCTCCGACGAATGCGCAAACTGAACCTGCCGATTCACTGAAGTTTGCAGACGGGGACCCATTGGATGTGGTCGCATGGCATGCGGGCGCATGCCCCTTATCATGGACGGTTGCCCGATATTCATTGATACGTCATGGCCGGCTACACCCCCGTCCTCATCCATAATAGCCAACTGATTGCAGTTTTGGAAAAAGTTAATGCCATTGCCTACCACAGGGTTGTTGGTAATTTTGTTTTGGTGCTGCTCTCCAGGAGAGTTCATTCCCATCATTCCCGGCATTCCGGAACCACCGTCTCCGCCAGACGATGGACAGATCGGGGAGCTGTTATTAACAGCAGCAATCTGAGGATTTGCGTATCTCTGTAAAAACTCCAGACTGGGAGGCATTCGAACATTGCTAGCTCCGTTATTATTGTTATTGCCGGCGTTCTGCGGTCTCACTGGCATGTACTGTATGGTATTCGGGGTACTCGCCCTCACCTGTATATTTGGATTGAAATTCGAACCGAAATTGACTGGCACTCGGCCCATCATTCGCGGACCAGGTGGAACAACGCCTTGAAAGTTTGAAGAGTTGGTTGGCATGGGACCAGAAACTGAATTCGGACCCAAGGGACTCTCCCTCAATACACTGTTGGGAGAATTGGGGTTAAAACTAGACGGACCATTTGGACCGCCGCCGCCTGGAGCACACATTTTGGGATTTAGCATTCGCTGACCCATCGAATTCATAACGGTATTCATTGGATGACAGTTATTTTGATTAATGACATCCATTCCTGGTCCTTCTAAGCCTGAAATCATTGAATGCTCAACATTAATGTCCGACGGTCCTGGACCACTGATCATAGTCATTCCACCACCAGCACCGGCTGGGCTTCCCATGCTGGACACACAGCTGGTCAGTTGTTGTGACATCTGCGCCAGGGAAGAGATTGGATCGAAGTTCTGTGCCATCTTGTTTGGCGGCTGGCGATTACCACTATTGGGATTGAGTGGTATGTTATCGGAACGCCGGGAAAAACAAGCCGAAGCCTGACGCTAAAAGCGAAAGAAATTGTTATAAATGACCTTTTAATTTGATTTAAATTATTTAAATTATTACCTCCATCTGCAAATTGGAAGTGCCTATTTTATAGGCATTGCTTTGCATATGCTGGTGAGGATTAAAGATCGTACCCGGACTGGTTGCAGCAAATCTCCCTTCTATATTTGCCTCTATTAAACCACTTCCTGGCGACCTTTGACCCTGCGGACTTGGTCGTCTACTCTTTATGTTTTCACCTATAAGGTATATTATTATTAGAACTGTATTAAAATTCAGGAAAGATCGAAAAATCTATATAAGCTGTCATGGGAACAACCGACATATGTGAAGACGCGTATCAAAGATTGGGTTCGCCGAAGCTAGTTTGCTTTCTTTTTTATGTTTTTACAACATAGTTCAAGTTTGTTTTAAATGGAATAAAATTTTTAATTATACGTTTGGACCCTTGTTTTGGTTTAGTTAAAAACATAATATAAAAAAAATGATTATGAGGGCCTGAATATGGAATTATCTTATTTCTTTATAAATATAAATTGTTTATCTGTTTTGTATCAAAAAATTAAGTGTTGTGCTGTTTTAAACAGAGGAAAATCCAAAATATATGAATTTAAAGTAAACCTGATATAATTATATTGAAAACATATAAACCTTAAACCCCAAAAATAATTTATAATTACCAGCAGAAGTCTGTCCGAAGGTATCCAACTCCTTTGGAGAAAGAAGGGACAGCGGGGTGCTCGGGTTACTGTTTAAATTGTGAGTGAGTACGCCAGATGATCCGCCGTTCCGATTTCGATTTTGATTCGACGGCGGTTGAGTCTCCCCCTGGAAACTGTTTTTATTTGAAGAGAGTTGAGTTGGGTTTCCTTGGGTGCCCGAAGTGATGGTGGGCGGCGCTGATCCCGGTAGTGGGGCTGTACCATCCATGCTGGGCGAATTGGTTGGCAAACCCATGACTGCGCCAGTTGCTCGTGGTGAGGGAAGGGACAGGTTGTTTGGACTCGATGGATTGGGCGATTGAGTGGCTATTGGCACTGAAGCAGAGCGCTGGGTGGAGTGGTATGGCGGTGGCGGGCCCTGCAAAGAGCGGACTTGGCCACTTGAGGGGTTAACGCCAGTTCCAGAAGGTCCAGAAGGTTGATGAGCAGGGCCGACAGTTCCTGCGGTTTGTCTGGGTTTTCCCTTGCTGCGCTCTTCAAAGAACTGCTGTTGGATCTTAGACCACTCCATTTGAGCTACTCCTCCTTGGTGAGGGTGCGGTAATCCGTCTTGAGCCGAAAGTTCTTTAGGCATATCTGGTAATGATCCGATGGGATTGACGTTGCAGCTAGTATTGCCAAACGAAGCCAGCATTTCCGTTGAACCAGCTATCATACTGCCGTTTGCACTACTTGTGGTCGAACAATGCATATTGACATTATTGCCGCCTCCACTATTTCCAGTTGCAGCTCCAGCTCCGACTCCAGGTCCGCATTGAAGGCTACTTTTTTGATTATTACTGCAACCCATGCCAGGGCCTATATCTGATATCACATCACCGGGAAGAATAACCTCTTCGGAGAGCGTTGAACTTGTCCCTGTCAAGAGCTCGGTTTTTACACTTCCGGGCAGGTGCATTTGTCGCATCTGCGGATTTATTATATTTCCCATGATTAGTTCGCCAGCAGCTTTCGGTATCTGGGAACTGACATTAGTTCCTGCTGTGTTCTCGTTTTCAGGGAATAAAAACTGATTCATTTTCTTAATTTTTGCCAGTTGCTCTTCCCGATGCTGACGCTGTTGTGGTGTAAGGTTTTCGTCTGGCACCTTAACTCCTTGCAACGAAACAATATTGTTTTCTTGGGTCAAACCCGAGTCACTTCCTTTTGTCACCTGCCCCAAATCAACGCCAGCAGCCTCCAGTATCTTGATTGCCTGTGATTCGCTTGAAGCATTAATGTGATCTACATTGTTTCGCGGATTTCGTGCAGCTCCGCTGTTTCCTGTCGCGTTTTCCCAACACATAAGTTCATTATCAGTGACCAATGAATCGGATGGATCGACAAAAGTGCTGTTGCGTTTGCTGTTTTCGTTTTGATTGAATTGGGCCTTCAAGAGGTTCAAAGACTTTGAATGAGGCTGCTGCTGCTGTGTTGCCTTTGACACAGAATTGGTAGCAGTTGGTGTAATCGGTGCTCCCGTTCCCATTCCTCCTGCCCAAGGCATTCCCAAGGAGTGATGTCGTTGCAACTTATTCATTTTTACCGGATTTTTCATAAAGAATTCTTCAAGAAAATTCTTAGTCGCTGGTTGGGTGCAGTGGTACGCAATAATTGTTTGAAACTGTCCGCTTAAAACAGATTCGGCCCCTTTGTTTGCCAGTTGAGTTGAAAAAACGTATATATGATTTTGCTGTTGCATGTAATCCAGGCAATTTCCACTCCCCGAGTTAGTATTGCCATTGCCACTGCCCATCAGAAGATTATTTACTCCAGATCCAGCCACAACTCCGGTTCCTGGTCCTACTCCACTCACATGAGATGTATTCATTCCAAGAGTTAATATGCTTGAGATAGGAGCGTGATTTAAGGATTCACTGATTATATCAGAGTTCAACGAATTACAGCCAACGCCGTCCATAGCAATTTCGTCATTACTTAGCCCAAAAGATGAAGCCTTTTTTTCCGCGGTGTTGTCGGTTGCGTTTCTTTCTATTTTTACTAAAAAAAAAAAAAATGTAAGAGGTACACATTTTAGTCAAAGTATACCTATGTAAATACAAATTTTTAAACAAATTTGTAAATTTGTCTGATTTTTCCATAAAATTTCCCAAATAGCAAACTGCTACTTCATTAGTTTTATAAAACTGTAATATAAAACTGTAATATAAAACCGTAATATAAAACTGTAATATAAAACTGTAATATAATATGCCAGTGATTTCGGCTTATCGAGAAAAAAGTATGATTTAGATGACGATGCTGATAAAAAAGAAAATACCTAATACTTATCTAATATATAAAATTCTCGTGTCACAGTTTTTGTGACCTTACTTCTCCAAAACGGCTATACCGATTCTCATGAAATTTTGTGAGCGTATTGAGTAAGTCTGACAATTACCCAACGTCTATTTTTCATCCTCTTAAATCGTGTTCGACATACCAAAAATCGCATATAAAGTGAGTTTCTACCTCATCACACTGACAAAAACACGCTACCATAGCATTTAAAATCAATTTAAACTGGGGAAAAAATCCTTCATTAAGTAAAATCATTAATTCTATTTATGAGTGTTTTGTCCAGTGAGCTATGCCAAGAAAACGCAAAGCGGGTACTTTGAGCCGTGATACAAGTAGATCTCGATACATGCGAAATAGAAGATCCGAAAGAATAGCGCAATTGCATCAAGAAGAGCCAGAAGATACACGAGCTGAACGCAATGAAGTCAGAAGGTTAGAACAACGACAACCACGCCGTGTCACAGTCAATAGAGGCAGAACAAATGACCATCAACGACAACCGGTACATCGAGCATTTATATATAATTCATTACTGCGTCTAGCATTCCAGTATGAGCCCGATATTGAGTAATATGCTCACTCAACAGTGGTAATTGATGCTATGGCCAAGGAATGTCCACATTGTCATGCTCTGAAATTTAAAAATGAGCCAGCTGGGATGTGGTGCGCGTCAGGAAAAGTGCAACTACCAGAAATTGAAACACCACCTGAACCATTGAACGGCTTACTTATCGACACGGATCCAGATTCTAACGTGTTCCTGAAGTCAATTCGAACATTCAATTCATGCTTTCTACATAAGTCTAGAACTGAGTAAATTTTGCACAGAAATTTTAAAGTCATCTGGTAGCAAAACAACGTTTGCCGGGGTTTGCTAGTATTTTATAGATTTAATATATTTTCTTTATATTTCATATTTTATGGGGTGAAGGGACTCACTGCATTGCAAACTTCTAATTGAAATTGTAATAACCTCTAAAAGAGTATCCCCACAAAAAAGTCTCTTAAGCGGTGACCCAGAGTATCCATTCTATTAGAATTGCTCGGAGTTTTAAACAATTTCAAAACCTATTTAACACAGAGCACCATGTAGCGTTAACTATATAAAAAATGTACGTGTTAAAATTATATTTTCGGCTAACTGGAAAAGTCCCAAGCCCTTAAACTCCTCTCACATAATACTACGTCTCTTGCAAATAAGTAAACAATCAAATATGTTTAGATTTTTTTTGTTTATCGTGGTTTCAGACACAATTTCTTTTTTTTTCTAATTATTCGCATACATCAAAACAAACAACGATAATAACGGTGATTGCAAGTGCAAAAGAAAATCCGCTGGCAGCGTGATGGGTTGGCGCCCTTACTAACGATCCACAGAGCCACCCTAACCCTAAGACACTATGCTGGCAGCGTGATGGGTTGGCACCCTTACTAACGATCCACAGAGCCACCCTATCCCTAAGACACTGTTGGCAACATTTTTTAATCACATCGATTAGTTTTTTTTTAAATGACTAATAACCGACCACTTACTCAAAACACAGCACTGTTACACACATAACGACTTTGGTGGTTTGCTGTAACCAACAAACTTAAACCCGAAATTTAGTGTTACGATTTCTGAATACGTTTTCACTTAGCAGTACATTAAACATAGCTCAAGGTGGCAATCAATCAAATTCAAAAGGTTTTAATATTTTTCAACGTTTTTTTGACAAGCTCCTTTTGAAACTTAACGTTCCGCAACTATACATAAACTCAGCGTTGCCAGTTTAGCTTATTTATAAGCTAGATTTTTAATAAAAATAAGCTAGAATAAGCTAAAATTTTCCAGTTTCAAAGTGTATAACTGCAGATTTAACATAACATAACATCAAAATAGCATTTAAAACTGGAAAATTTTAGCTTATTCTAGCTTATTTTATTAAAAATCTAGCTTATAAATAAGCTAAACTGGCAACGCTGCATAAACTAGACTTACCAGGCGTAGCAGAGTGGTCCTGTGCATTTCCAATAGCACCATACCCAATGGGGGACATATTTGGGGTGTTGTTTTCTCTTTCTTCTTTTTTTATATTAACTAAGTTGCTCAGAACATCGGCGGGCTCTTCCTTAATGGCAATGCCAATGGACAATCCGGACGAGGACCCTGTTCCGCATCCAGTAACGGGAGCTAAGCCTTTTGCTTTATTAGAACCTTTATCTGGGGTGAAAGAAGGGATATTTTACTTAACTTCTGTGTTCAAGCAAAACGCTAAATAAATTTAAAACGTGTTTTTTGCCTAAGCTTTATTTAATAATGTATAAAGAAAGAAAAACTGTTTCACGTGAGCTCTAATTGTAACCTGCGTTGCCAGTTTAGCTTGTTTATAAGCTAGATTTTTAATAAAATAAGCTAGAATAAGCTAAAATTTTCCAGTTTCAAAGTGTATAATATAATTTTAGCTTATTCTAGCTTATTTTATTAAACATCTAGCTTATAAACAAGCTAAACTGGCAACGCTGATTGTAACACATGCTTACCAACATCCTCATCCTTTGCACTCGACGCCTTTTTTTTCGCCTGCTCGTCACTATCGACCATTTGCGTAAGTCCAACCGCAGCGGACACATTACTGCCATTGGAGTGTTCACTGGTGTTGTTTGGGGAGGCGACCAGGCCCGAATTAATGCTGCTTGAAGAGTTCTGCCTTAGCATTGGGGTACAAACAGCAGCCCCCAAGGAAGACGTCTGTGATGGCTGTCCATCGGCTGCACCGCCGGTTCCACTGCCTCCGGCTGATCCGACCATGCATTTGTCATTACTCGAAAGGCCGTTTATCTCTGAACCTTCTTCAGGATTATTTAGCTTTATTTGGTCTGAAAAAAAGGTGAAAAATACAATGTATAAATGTCTTCGTATTCCAAAGAAAACAAAAAGCCAAAGGCTTACCCGGAGACAGTGCGGAATAGGGTTCATTTTTCATGGCCTTTGGAGAGCTCCTGCTGGCGCCTGCCACCCCATTCCCAGATCCAGATTGAGTTGCACTTGTTGAAGCATCGGCGTTTAAAAGCAATTGTGCTGGTGGCGGACTGCAGGACATTGTCGTTGATAGCATTGTTGGCTAGATATGTATATGAATTGTGGCCCTCCGTTCAAAAGGAAAGTGTTCTTCAGATCATTGTGTTACATTAACGCTTAGATTCTGGCAGAGGTCCTGTAAATTTGACATAAGATTGTACATACATGTGCACATACAACCAAACCGTACGAACACTATTGCACTAATATAAAAGTTTTAAACACGCGAATCATAAGAAGTAGAGCCTAATAGCTAAGTCGCAATCATTGCTAAAATTGGCACTAAATTATTTTTCATGGCTATTGAAATCCTCTTACTCTTCAATTGAACCATCGTGGTTAAGCTGTTTCACAGTTTTGTGTATACATATTTACTGTCAACACTTGAACTCTATTTTGAGTTGTTGTCGTGAATTCATATCCATAAATATCATATTAGTTATCGAATGATTTAGCACTTTAAAAACAAAGCGGTATATTTCGTTAAAACAATCGCACAATACATAGCTAAATTATTACTATTTTATAAATAAATATGAAATTGCTGCTTTTTAGAGTAACCAAGTCTTGGAATTACATAAACGCTTAGCTTGATACACATCTTCTAAAATACTAAACGTAGTATTTTTTACTAAAACTGTCTGTACGCTTTAAGTTAAAGAAGTTTATGTTATCGACGATTGCGGAACGGTGGAATTTAGAACATGGAGGCTGGTTTTGATTATTCGTTATCCCGCTCCTAAACAAGCAATTACAATAAAATAAAAAAAACTTTAATTATTAAAAAGCTAACAATTTTGTGAAAACTTCAGGCGGTAATACTTCGGAATTTTGACTCCAGGCTAAGATAACAACCCCCTTAGAAGGGCCTAAGGGTTTTTACCTTTGAAAATTGAAATTTCGCCGAAAATCAGCCGAAAACTCTTACATGCACGTCATGCATTTCCGCGCTAAATAAGCGGAAAAATGACTAATTTTTTTTGGACAAGTATAAAAAAAAGCGCGATGTTTATTAATTTTTTTTCGCAATTTCGGGAAAAAATCTTGATTTTTCAAGTAGGATGACTTTTTTTTTTAGTATTTAGACATTGATTTGTCATTTTCAGACAGAATCTCCGTCATTATTTCGCCCACAAGGCGATAAAATACGTGACGTGAAAGTGACATTTTCGGCTGATTTTCGATGAAATTTCCATTCTCCAAGGTAAAAAACCTTCAGCCCCTCCTAAGTGGGTTATGATCTTATGAAAAAACCCTTGATTTGGTGCGCAAATTTTTTTAGGGCTAAAATATAGCTGGAGTTAATATTCCGAAGTATTACCAATTTTTGTTATTTGTATGCTTTGCGAACAATTATCAAATACATTAAACATGTCTTGTTTATTTAAATCATATAAAATATTATTGCATTCCTTTTGTTCAGTATTAAATTTGTCTTAATGGCGTTGCCAGATAAAAGTTTTTGAACTGAAATAGAGACGTATCGATAAGAAAAGGCATTTAAAAACTTCGTTTTAAAAAGAGCTAAAAATGACGGGAAAAAGGATGATCTGACAACACTGCAACATTGGTTGCGCCAGCGCCTGAATAAAATCAATAAATCAATACCAATAGTAGTTGTTTCCAGCTTGTGATTTGTTTAAGTTAGCATCACCAAGCTGCAGCGCACAAAAAGACTCAGAGCACAAGCTAAAGCTAAAACGGGCTACTAAACCGGGATTGCAGAGCACAAGCTAAACGAAGAATTAACTACAAAACCGTGATTGCTCGTACCAAAAACCAAGGTATGTATACGAATTCATAAATTTCATTTCTGAATATACAATAAATAAATATACAAAGTTTACAAAACTACATTTTATTTGAAGTCATCAATACTCTTAAAAATTGGAGAGTTTTTAGTATTCAAGTAAGCGAAATGTCGGGACATCTTTCCTAGCAAAAAAAGATTTTATTTCGATCGAAATATAAGTGTTCGAAAACAGCATTGGTTCTGAACAAAGTTTTTAGTATAAATAAATAAATTATATATATGTAGGTAGGTTTACTCGCGCGCTTTAACGTAAACAAACTGTGAACTCGAAACATCGTTTAAAAAATAATTTAAATTTTACTGAAATACTGAATAAATTTCCTATCCTTACCATGTACATTTATTTTCATAAATGTCTGAATGTATCAATACGTAAATACAAACATACATACATATATATTTAAGTGTTTTGTTTTCAACCACAGATGTAGACATTATAAGGTAATCAGCTTAATTTTAACCTTTGACAGCGAGCTCATTTGCTCGATAGAAAATATTTTTTATTTTGTGTCAGATTATATGAATGTGTTGTTTCTGCTGATAAGCTTTATGTCATTCAATTTCATTTCAGAAATTTGCTGAGGTCGAAATATAACTGTCACAAGAACATTAACTATGCGCCAGATAAGCGCATTTTGACATTAAAAATCTATAGAAACTTTAATCTAACTTAATTAAAAATGCCTTTGTTTGGCAAAAAGGATTCTGGCAAGAAAGCCAAGGCGAAGGAAATGAAAGAGTTAAATAAACAAGTATCAATAGAGGAAAAGTACAATCTTCATGGACTTTTGGGGACGTAAGTACTACAAAGCTTCATTTTTTACTTAATATATTTATGTTGTTCTTATGTTTAACCACATTAAAAGTGGAGCTTTTTCAGAAGTACGACTAGCAGAAAGCAAAGATGTGCCCGGCGATCATTTTGCAGTAAAAATTATCGATAAAAAAGCTCTAAAGGGCAAGGAGGAATCGTTGGAGAACGAAATACGTGTTTTGAGAAGGTAAGTGATGAAACACCTAAGAAGTATGTCGATCCATTTTCTTGAAAGCTAGAATTGATTTTCATAGTGTAGCAGGTGCCAGCCACACTTGTTTCAGTCAAGGAGACACCTCAGACCCCATAAAGTATAAATATTCTTGATCAGCATCACGATCTGAATTGAAATACGTCTGTATATTTGTCCGTCTGTCTGTTTCTATGTACATTTTTGGAACATCGACTTTTTTAACTACCCTTAAATTGAGAAAATTCATAAAAATCGAATCACTATGTATATCATAAAGCTGCCATAGGAAGGATAAAAAAATCTATATATAATTAGCGGAAATTAATGGAAAAAAATAATAACATCGTTGCTTTTCAATCACAATCAAACTTGTTGTAGTTTTTTTCCTTTTTTTTTTTTGTTTTCCAATGACTCTCGAACTTTAAATTCAATTTCATTTAAATCGAACGATGACTGCAAGGCTATACAGTCGAGTCCCGATAATTCGAAATGGCAAGGGGATCACATTTATCGAGATTTCTAAATAACGGGGCTCAAAAATGAAAGAGTCGAATAAACGGTGTTTTTACATTTCACATCATGTTTACATACATATGTATTTAACTTTTTTAAAATTAAACAAACATTATAAGTATGTACATTCATTTGTACTTTTTTCAAATTAAAGGAAAATTAAGCAATAACATAAAATTATAACAGCGAGAGAAACACAAAATTCATAATGCATAGCGACATAAAGGCGGGATAGCTGTCTGCAAAATCTAACGGTGCTTTAACTACAAAAAATTTCGCATCGTATAACGATTTATAAGAGGTAACGAAACAAAATTACGATTTATAAAAGGCTCAATATTCTTTGCGTTGCGCCAAATACTACGAATTAACGAGGGGACCAAAATGTATAGAATTTTTACGAATTAACGAGTTTTTTCAAGGGGACAGAATTTTTTACGAATTATCGCGATTTTCAATTTAGCGGGGTACGAATTATCGGGATTCGACTGTAATATGTGAGTCGATTTCCATGTGTGCGTTGGCCGTCTTAAATAACTAACGAAACAAAAATTAAAACCCCTTTTTTATAAACAAGATTTTTTGATGATATCGTATAAAATGAATAAACAAAATATGTTATTTTACTTTTCATTTGGAAATCAAAATTCCATAATTAATGGTGTAAAAGAATAAAAAAATCAAATCCGAATTGTTTTTACCTCGATATTAGGCTTGGAAATCCTGACATGTATTTCGTTTACGATTTTAACATAAGTTTCTTTTTTACGTAGGATAGGTAGTTTTGAAGGCAAAATATTTATATATTTAATATATTATTATTATTACAACTTTTAAAGTACATATATTGAAAAAAATTTCATTGAAAGGTATTAATAAATAAGCCTGTAACGGTGAATCTCCAGAAGCGACTTGAAAAAAGTGGTTTAGCGGTGAACATTATAACGGTAACGAGTTCATCCGAAAATCATCCGAAAAAATAAAAAAATTTTAAGCGTTTTAAAGGATACGTATTTCTTGAGGTAATCAGGAAGACTTTTTTTCTATTTTTTGCAGCACTAAAAAAAAACATTAAATAAAATTCTTTCTGATTACCTGTTGATTTATGTGAAGAAGTAATGTTTAAATTTTCAAAAGGATCGGTTCAGTAAATTTTGAGTTCTAATGTTTACGAACTTCAAAAATACCGTTTTAGGGAGAATCGACATAAAGTATTTTTATACAACAAATCCGTTCAAAATCGGTCTTTTAAATCGATAAAAATCTAAATATATAATTTATATGCCATGGGAAAAATAGGAAAACAAGTTTTTTCGAAGCGAAAATGATTAAATTCTTAAAAAAAATTGAATTAATTGTAAAAGTATAAATGCTTTGGCTTGGAATGGTGAATTCATTTCTTTATCTTCTTTAATTTATTATCTACACTCACAAAAATCACAATTCTTCTATATTAACATGAATGGCTTGAATAAATTAAATTACCTAATTTATTTTATGTATAACAAAGGTGTAAATCCGAATTTGAGGTTTAACTATAATTTTTTGATTTTATATTTATAGCTTTTCTTGTTTTAAAAACTCTGTTGTTGCTTGCTTAATTTATTTTCTTTTCATGTGTAGGTTCAGTGCAAATCATTTCGGTGGCAAATGTCCAAACGGAGCGCGGTGAGTTCATACCCCGAGATCCAATTTATGGAACTTTATTTACATAGGTTGAGGCTTCAATTCGTATATTAGTTTTTAGCAACATTTTTAAGAAAAAGTTATTTATTAGGAAGGTTTATTTGATGGACCGAAAATTGAAAACAAGCGAAATAGTTGCAAAGCTACCCATAACATATGAATTGCGTTTTACTTTTTACTTTACTTTTACTTTACGTTTTACTTTACTTTCAGATTGACACATCCGAATATCGTGCAACTCTTGGAAACGTATGAGGACAAGTCGAAGGTGTATCTAGTTATGGAACTGTATGTGTCTAATACATAGATATATTAATTAAATTAAATTAATATTAATTAATTACAGGGTTACTGGTGGCGAACTCTTCGACCGCATTGTGGAGAAGGGTTCTTACACTGAAAAAGACGCCTCACATCTCATCAGGCAGATTCTGGAAGCGGTCGATTATATGCATGAGCAGGGTGTCGTTCATCGTGATCTTAAGGTAAGAACAAAAAAAAAATTAAATCTGCGATTGCATTAACTATAAGTACAAAAATTTGAATAAGTTGCCACCCAAAATATATGGCTTGCAAAGTGAACCAAAATGTGCTTCTAAATTGAAATGCAATAGCACTTCTTAATAACGATACAATAATATTTTTTGCAATTATTTACAGCCAGAAAACTTACTCTACTATAGTCCTGATGACGATAGCAAAATAATGATTAGCGATTTTGGTTTATCTAAAATTGAGGATTCTGGAATTATGGCAACAGCATGTGGAACTCCGGGATATGTTGCTCCTGAGGTGCTAGCACAAAAACCATACGGAAAAGCCGTTGATGTGTGGAGTATTGGAGTAATATCTTACATTCTTTTATGTGGCTATCCTCCGTTTTATGACGAAAATGATGCGAATCTTTTTGCTCAGATTTTAAAAGGTCTTATTAAAGTACAGAAACAAAGATATGTTCGGCAAGCCGATGTTTCTTTACTAAAAAACCTGCATGAACCAACAGTGATGAACAAAAATTGAATTAATTTTTAATCCCTAAAAAAAAAAAAAATAACGCGAACTTTCAATAACAAAATAATGAAAAAAAAATTGGGGCTATGTGATATGTTAATAACATAAAAGTCTTAAAAGTATAATTTTGAATTTAAGAAATTTAATATAAAAGACCTGTTAGTATTTAAACTGTTCCTATAGCAGCTATTTGATCAAATTGTCTTCCAAAATATTTAATACGTTATCTTCGATAACGATATATAATAAAGTAGTCGGATCCGATTAGAAAAATATTAAATAGATGAAATGATATAATTCAAAGTGTAGGTACAACTTTAGCAAATATGTGACGAAATCGTTATTTTGTAGTCCCTATTACCATTGTAAAACTTTCAACTTTTTCCATTTTGAGGCACTTCAATTTTATTAACAAACAACAAATATGTAAAATATTAAACTAAGTATTTTATTAATATTTTTCGTTTGAAGAATAGTGTTGGTTCATGCAAAACAATTATCAATATAAAATGCATATGACCCTTAGGTTGGGAAAGTTTTCCTTTAGAACGTAGTTTTAGGAACATAATGTAATGTGAAAAACTTAAAATTCAACGATCTTGAAATAAGAAAAAACTATTGGTAACTATATAGTTATATACGTTTTTATTGACAACTTTAATAAGAAACCGACCCAACCTTCGGATCTTTTACCTTAAATTTGATACACTAAAATTGAAGCTTGTTAAATTCTTAGGAGATTTCGAATTCGATTCACCATATTGGGATGAAATAAGCGAGTCCGCCAAGCATTTTATAAAAAACCTGATGTGCGTAGCAGTAGACACTCGATATACGTGCAAACAAGCTTTGGCGCATGCCTGGTAAGTGTGTAAAACGATTTTAAATTAATAGTTATAAACTATAGTTTATTTATATATCATTATTAGGATATCCGGAAACGAGGCCAGTAACAGAAACATTCATGGAACAGTCTCAGAACAATTGAAGAAAAACTTTGCTAAATCGCGTTGGAAGGTGCGTTGTTTTGCTTGTTATAAAAACATGGTACAGTTATACAAGGTAGTCCCGTCGGCTGCCTAATCGTTCGGCTTTTTAGTCAGTGCGTTCGTGCTTGTTGAAGGATGAGCACGCGTGCGGACGAATTTTTTCAGAGTATTAACCCTTGTGCAAAGATGTCGTTCTGCCCTTGGCTGCAAACTTTTTTTTGTTTTATAACATGTCGTTTCAGATAATTTTAGTATAACAAAAAATGTAAAGGAGAAACTATTTATAGCTGCTAAAAAGCATTAATTTAGATATTAAAAAAGTTTACTTTAAGATTGACATTTATTTTAAAATTAGGAACCTAAACAAAAAAATAACTATCCAAAAATATAAACAACGTTCAATTTTAAATTCAAAACTATTAAAAATTAATTTATAAAAAACTTCAACTCCTATTACTATAAATGAGCAATTTAAGACCCATGCACCATCTAAGGACTAAGCAAAAAGCTCTTTTGTCGTTTCACTCGCACTTACTACGCAGACTCCTCTCACTCGCACTTGTGGTGAGTAATGAATAAGGGAGTGCTTTTTGCCGACGAGACTACCTTGTATAATTGTACCATGATAAAAATAAGATATAATTGATTATTTATTTATTTTTTTATTCTAGCAAGCCTATTACGCCGCCACAGTTATTAGGCAAATGCAGCGGATGGCACTAAACAGCAATAGTAGTGGAAATAGTGATTCTACTGGGGGTAACAGCGGCAACCAAAATGACTCTTCAAATTTAACAGCAGCTTCGGGAACATCCATTTCCAGTGTTCTGTCAACAACACAACAATCTAAGCAAAATAGCGCACAAGATGTTAGCGACTCAATACTTAGCACAAATGGAGGATCCTCACAGTAGCAAAGTTGAATATCAAAATGTGTTACATATATAATATACTGTTTTAAATTACATTTTTGAACTTAAACAATAGATCTAGTCTAGTAAATATGTCATGTTTACAAATCGGATAATTTTTACAATTGAAAATACCAAAACATAATGATAATGTGGGTACAGCTGCACTGTTCCATTTCGAAAAAATATTCAAGTTGGTAGGTTACTGCTTAATCAACGCAACACACACTAAAAATGCAATCCGTCATTCTAAATTCTTAATAATTTATTATTAAAGCGAGGTATTTACTGTAAAAAAAAAAAAAAAAAAAAACTAAAATGAAGAAATGTCTTAAAAAAAACGTTTTACTACATTTTTATTTATTTATTGGTGTTTGATCGGTAAATTGCTAATTTAATTTTTTTTCTTTTGTGTTTTGGGTTTTCAGATGTTTTAATTGAGTTTTCAGGATAATGGTGGGTTAGTTAATTAATTACATTAACTTTCCTCATTTTATTTCAAAGTTTTCGAATGTCCGTTCCGAAAATTTTGGTCGATGCGTGCCAGAGTAAGTCCTATATACCTATACACCATAGCAGAAAAACTTTTGAAGTTAAAATTTTTTTCTTTTTCATATACATATATAATTATCCATAAACTATTCGTGAAATCTGCTATGTTGATATAAAGTTAGCAGAACAACACACTAAAATTAAACTTTTTCAACTTGATTTTTTCCAGGAATTTCCCGTTAATTATCCGTTAATTATTCGTGAAGAAAAAAATTCACCGTTTTTAATATTTGCTTTGGGGTTATTCTTTAATGGAAGACTAAAAGAGAGAGAGCTAGTGCGCAATCTGCCCATGCCTGCAGCTTCAGCGGCAAATATTTTTCTTTCTTTTCTTGAATTAACGGCAAATTATGAAAAAGAAAAAAATTTTAATTTCAAAAGTTGTACTGATAACTTGATCGTCATCAGAAATTCAATCATTATCACAACGTAATCGTTTTTGCTTAGAATGTGCCGCGAGGTAAGTGCCAGAAAAGTAATTTAAGACTTGAGGGTTTTTCTTAAACTAGTTTCTCTGTTACCATATATATATATATATATATTATATATAAACCCTGGTAGCTTTTGCATATTATGATATATATATCAATAAACAATTATACATTTAGCTTGACTTAAATAATTTATTATAATAAATATAAAAACTTTATAACTATAAAGATCGAATGTCTTTCTTAGAAAAATTATAACATAAAAGGAATTAAAGATCGAAATACTATATCATATGTCTTTTTTAAAAAAAATCAAATGAAATTGAAAAAAGAGAGTTACTTTACAGTACATTTTATAGCTGAATTTTTAATGACTAAAAATGGAAAAATACTTTAATATATGGAATTCGCAGACACAGATAAACTCTGATATTAGACGTTTAGAAAAAGAGCCAATTCTCATCAGAAAGAGGCAAAGCGACGCGTACATATATTTCAGGGAAAAGAAAAAATCACTGGGCAACTCTCAGTTCACATTCGTACCTACACCGGTAAACAATCGTTTCCCGATTATCTCATCGTTATGTGCTCAGCAGAAAACCAAAACAAAAAGAAAAAGAAATTTGGGCGAGAGGGGCAGCTGCCCCCTAGAGATTTCAAACTCCTGTTTTTTAGGCTACATTTCATTTTGAAAAAATTAGGGATCCTTGGTAAAATGTAAACAATATAACCCTACTTTTCTATCGAACGAGAAATGTATGAATTGTAGTAGGTAAAGTCGTTGGACGATTGTTCATATGCCAGCTATACCTATGATATAGTCATCTGGTTTTTTTGAAATTTAATTCGAAACTCAAGTCATTTAAAAACTCTATATTTCAAAAATTTAGCTTTTCTAATGAAAAACAACTATGTTGTCATTTTTTTCCTGTTATTTCTATATAGATTTTTCGATCTTTCCTATGACAGTTATCCGATTTTTTATGAAATTTTTTTTCTCGATTCAAAGGTATTTAAAAACAACTAGGATTTTTGGAATATAGAGTGCTTCACAGACTGTTGAATTTAGAATTAACTTTCATAAAAATCGGACACCTTGAACTATAAACCATTAATCTATATTTATTGCAAGGATATCAAAAGAGAGAGAATAAATTTAATGCCAAGCTTTATTAAAGTTCTTCGCTATCGAATTGAGGAACTTACATTTATTTATTAATTATTATAATTAAAATGTACATTACTAACTTGTTCTAACAGATTTAGAAATCACTTTTTCTTGTTTCGTTTCTTTTTCTTTTCTGAGCCATGCTCTTTTCTTTTTGCCACACAAAAGCGACAGAACCAATCGTCATTGTCCTTGGGAGCAAACGTAATGCCCACGCAAATCCTGAAACAGAAATCTTTGTGTAAATACATTTTAAAATAGAACATTTGGTGTTTTATTATCGTACCAATGGTACCAGGCATCGCAACCATCACATCCAATCATAGCAGAGCCATCGTCCACCTTTCCACAAGCAGGACAAATCCATATACGATTACCTTCAGCGTCGACATACGATGAAGGACGACTAGTTTCTATCTTTTGTAAGGTATCTTCTTCACTTGTGGTGGTCGAACCGTAAAACCCCGGTTTTGTAGCAGTTTCCGTTTTAGTGACAGTAGTGACTGGTGAGATATTATTTGCTATTGGAGTAGGCGGCAACATCAATTGCTGTGGTAACAAAACTGAACTAGCCGCAAGCGTGGACGAGGCAGCATTACTATTATTAGGGGTCAACAGCCAACCGGCCGAGTTGGTCGCAGTTTGATGAGGATTTATAGGCGGAGGATTTATCGGAGTGTTTCGCACGTAGATTGGTAGGGGTTGCGGTGTTACTGGAGTAGAATTAACAGAGCTGTTGCTTAAAAAGGGGCCACAACCTAATGTGCCCAAGAAATGTGTATCAGCTGTAAAATTTTTAAGTTATATTAGGTTAAAATATTCCGTTTTTTAATAACAACTCTACATACATTGCTTGGTCTTGGGTGGCCCAGTTACCAATGGGGAAAAGCGAGCTAGCTCCGGAGAATTATCACGCTCACGCTCCTTTTTTTCACTTGGAAATATGACTTGCCGTTCTAGGGTTTCCAGTTTTTCCATATTGGGCGTGTCGTTTTCATTTTCGGCGACCGTAGATTTTCCAGAAAGTTTAAGTGTTAGTTTTGGTATTTGAATTGGAGGCTCCCCTAAGTTTGGAGACGAAATCGTTGGTTTCATTGATTTTAAAACAGGTGTACTCACGAGTACACTTTGTGTAGAGGCATTTTCAATGTTGTTATTTAAAGTCATCTGAGGAATTTCATGTGCTTTATCCGGAATATGGATTAAAACCTAAAATCATAAGTCAAAAACATTTTACAAAAAGCAAATAAGCCGCATTGGGGCTGATGTTACTTTATACCTGGCTCTTAATATACTAAAAAATAAAAATAAAATACAATTATATATATCGACTACGTTATTCAATAATTTTTTGAATCATGATTTATTTATTTAAAAAATATAGTATGACTATGCGCTTATGTTGATTTGTTTCAAAACAAGAAAAGAATCTATATCTATCTATCAATTTCGCAATTTAAAATTTCAAATTTCACTTTAAATTGTTGAAAAAGGGTAAATCATAACTTTTATTAAAGTTTTGTTGCTTCATTCAGAAGAGAATTTAAGGAGCACAACTAGTATGACCGCCTAAAAAAAGGTGATTTTTTGGAATTTTTATTAAAAAAACTACTTTGTCAATTATTTCAAAATTTTCAGAATATATTTATACATGTTTTAAGAATATACAGTGAAATTTTTGAAGAAAAAAATTAAATATTTATTAAGTTATAATCTGCTGCAGTGATTCCGGCCTTCTCCGTGGATGAAATCAAAAAATTAAAAATTCTCGTTAAACTAGATAATATTGTCTGTACAATGAACTACAATAAAAAATATCAAAAAATTTAAAAAAAAATCGAATTTTACCCAAAATGTTGGTCGTTTTTGGCCTGCATTTTGATCAGATCAAAAAATCGATAGTTCATTTCTCCGTACAATGAACTATCGATTTTTATATATATATAGAACATGTAAAAAAAATTACATAGTAATCGGATCATTAGTTTTTGAGTAATCACTGCAGCAAATTCGAAAAATGCTGTTTCGAAAAAAATGCGTTTAAAGATATAAATTTAAATTGCTTTAACTCAAAAACTATTTAAGATATCGATTTTAAATTTTAATATGTTTTTGTTTTAAAAGTAATCTACCGAAATATGTTAAAAAAATTTTTGATTTTTTTAAAACTTCACACTAGTTGTGCCCCTTAATCCTGAATACGATACATTCGAAACTAATTTGAATTTCTTTCTGAAATTTAAGGGACACATTTATTTTAAAAATTGATTTTCATTGATTTAAAAAATAAAAAAAAAAAAAAGAAATGTACAACTTATTTTAAATATATTTTCAAGTTTTTTTTCCTATATTTTTTCCACTTTTCTCAATTTTTTGTTTTCATCAAAACCCCTTTTCATCTACAAAGAAAAAAATTTTCATTAAAATTTTAAGAACACCATCCTGATGCATTGATACTTTCGGTTTTTTTTTAAGGATTGACTTAAATGAATATCAACTACATATTAAATAATTTCTCGTCAATAGTAAAGAGGTGATCTGGACCCCAGGATCAAAATCTTCGGATTACCGAATTTGGCTTTAAAGCGATATATATCTTTTAACCAACCTGCTTATCCTTCTTCTTTTCCTTCTTTGGCTTCTTGTCAAGCCCTTTTATTTTTCGATCTGAATTATAGGACGGGATGGTTAGTCGATCCTTTTTTTTTGACTTGTCTTTCTTGTCTTTTTTCTTTTTTATTTTTCCTTCTTTAAGCTTCTTAAGCTTTTTGTGGTGCTTTCGCACTTTGAGATTTAAAGATGACGATCCAGTTGGTGTAATTGTAATATCTTCATAACTTGAAGTTGGTGGCAAACATTTCTGCTCCTCGGAAATATTAAAATTCTTTAAAATGGGGTTTATGGCCAATGACGCCCCGCCTGTCAAGCTACTAGAAGGTACCTTTTGCGACGAATATGCCGAGCCACTATCCACTCTTGATAATGGTATAAGATCTGCTCCCCCAGCTAAACTGTACTTGTCACCTCCTATGAAATTTGAGAAATTCTGAAATTGCGGAAAAGTTGTAGGCGAAGGAGTGTGGATTATTCTTTTAACATCGGGAAGGTTAAGTTTAACTGGCTTTTTTACTTTTGCCACAGATTCACTAGAGTTTAAAGCAGGCACGATTCGCTTGAAATCCGCATGGCAAACATCTTCACTGATAGATGATAATGACAGGTACTGTGACTGTACCAAACTTGATCTTGCATGGCCTGGAGAACATTGTGGAGATTTTCTTTGAGCAGGCGGCTGTCTATTTTGCAATGATTCGTCAGAGTCATCCGAAACTTCAATTGGATCACCCAAATTTCCAGAAGCCTGTACTAATGGTCTTGTTTTCGATTTGGGTGTAGCGTTTGCAAATGTATTATCCAACTCAGTTTTTTCACAAGTTACTTTTTTACCTACAGTCAATACAAGTTTATAAACATTTATAATCATTTTATATTATGTCTAACTTACACTCAGCCAATTTCATTGAATCTGGCACCAATGGAGCCACGTTGCAGTAGTTTCGTTCCATTTGTACGTTCTTCTCCGAGGTTGATCGCTTTAGAATCTGATGGCTATCAATATCTTCAAAGTAAATTAAAAAAGAAAAATACTTAATACTTTATAAATATACAAATATATATATATATACTGATTTATATATATTGATGTATATATCACATATATACCAAAGTATACTCTACAATTCATACTCTTGCACTTTAAGAGATTTGATTTTTTGTATATCAGATCTGTTTCTATTGAAAGTTATTACTTAGTTTATGAATTTAGCTTTTTAAAGTTTCTGTTTCATTCTCGATTCAAATAGTTTGTTTTATAAATTATTTCTAGATTAAACCTACCAGCGGAATCTATAGTTGGTGGGCATCCAACGGCATTAGCAACCGATCCCTCTGAGCCCGAAAAAGCAATGAATGGCGAAATGCTGACTGTGTTCACAGGATTACCAAAGCCAACAAGTCCGGTTACTGCAGGAAAAAGTCCTGGTCCCGACGGAATAAGGCCTGGCCGTGGCGGAAAGTGCAATAAAGGAAGCATAGGCACAATTCCGGCTTGATTGCCAGGGTATAATGATGGGTTCGATATGGGACTGGGCACTGGCATAAATTGGTCTTGACAGGTTAAAATATTTCTTTCTTTTTCGGGCGCATAAACTTTATTACACAATTCCAAAATGTTCTCTGGTTTTGTTTTACTTTTTTTTCTTTCTTTTTTATCTTTTGTGTGCAAATTCTGCAAAGGTTCACTCGAGGCTTGCTCTACATTGCAAAGGTTCAGAGGCTCCAATGTCATAGACGCATTTTCTGATATTATCATCGTAGGTGGTGCCAGCGGGAGTGGTATTACATGCGTAGTCTTTTCTCTTTTTGCCGATTCAACCAAGGATTGTGATGTGAAACTCGTTTGTTTTACAAAGTTCTTTCCGCCAGGCTTGCGGCCCCGTTTTCTTGACTTAACCGATTCAAGTACTGGCATTTCACTGTCGGCGACTTTGGGCGGTGATGGTGGGATTTGATCCAACATGTAGGAAGTGTTGATTTTCGCTGGATTAAGCCCGAGTAAAGGAGTAGGCGTAATAGTAGTCCCAGATGGAAGACTTATTATTGGAGGACCCGAGATTGTGCTCCCGAACACTCGAACGCCTAGTCCAGATGATCCCGACGCTATTCCACCTTCCTGGCGGGGAGCGCGTGGTTTGGAAATTTTTTTAAAGACATCCAACTTACTCCGTTCCGGCTCGCAAGCGTTTTTTCTAGCAGGCAATAATATTTCCGAATGTTGTAGATCACCCTCATGTACTTGAAAACTGGAACTGGCTTGGGAACTGGTTTCAGTTTGCTTTATAATTAAAGGAGCCCCACTAGGGATATCAGTTGAGGTAATGTTTTCTGAATTTAAATTCGATTCAGCGCTAAAACCGCTTAGGGTTTGAGATGTTTGCATAAAGCCATAATTTTTCACATCAAGTTCAAGTTGAATAGCCTTTTGCCTATGCTTAGTCTGTTTTTTCATAATTTTTTCCAAACTTATTTTATTTGGATCCGAGGAAGTGCTGCCTCTGTTTACCTTCTTTTTCGACTTTTTTCCATGACCATTTAAAGAGATACTGTGGGTCTTTGACAATTTCTGAAATATTTTTAAAGCTTTACGCTGCGATTTTTCCTCAGCGGAGATAGTTTTTGTGGAGGAGTTTTCATATTTATCTTCTTGACATTGTTCTGTTGCTAAATCTGGTTTTTGTTTTTTAGTCTTCTTTAAGGCTCCAGCGTTCATTGCGATTGCCGCTTTAAGATTCTTAGAAGGCGATAATAATGAACCCTCTGCGTTCTGACTATTACTCAATTGCGCAGTATTTTGATTAATGTTATTGATTTCAGAGTATTGAAGGGATATACTTTTTTTTGGGATTGTCGGCGATTCAATTTCTGAAGGCAGCACTTTCGGAGAATATTCCAAAGGATGGACCACTATAGACGATGAGGGTGGAGCATCCAGACCTTTATATTTTTCTAGAAACATAAATACATTAAAATTACATAACCTCACATACTTAAACCCATGGTAGAATTATACAAGGTAGTCTCGTCGGCTGCAAAATCGTTCGGGTTTTTTCCCCCTATGGTTCAGTGCGCTCGGAATTTCGAAGTGAGAGGTTGTCCGCGAACGATTTTTTCTCAAAACGTTAACCCTTGTGTGCTTATGAAAAATACTTGTTGCAATTATTGCAGCAAGCACATACAAGGCGTAACATGTAATATTGCAGAAAAATATTTTGAAATGTGAACAATATGGGAGGGAGTCCTAAAGGGCAGCTTTGGGTAAAAACCAAAAATTACGGAACAATTAATTCTCATTGTCATATAACAGTCCTTTTTAAACCCCGTGCACAGCATAAGGGTTTTACGACATCATCTTCTTCTGTTTCCTTCGCACTTACGGGAAAACACCCTCTCACTCGCACTCATTGTAGTGACGAATAGGGGGAAAAAAAGCCGACGAGACTACCTTGTACTTATTATACCATGCTTTAACCGTTACGTACCAATTATGTCTGGTATGAAGGCCTCGGGGAGTTTCCCTTCGATGGCAGGGCTAATAAAACCGCCAGTGGTCATTACAACGCTGCTCATTTCGCGGACGGAGCGACCAATCTCCGAGTCGAAGGTGTTTGACGGAAAAATCGACGCATTGGGAGAAATAGGACGATTGTGAATTTTACCCAGTTTTTCTACAGAACACGTAGCCTCGAACTCTGACTTTTCTCGTTGTTGTGAAAATTTATTTTGAGTATCCAATTGTATCTCCCGTGATTCGGTTCTTTGCATTGGTGGCAAGTACTCAAAAATATATACAGGTCTTGTTAGAGTTTCTGCACTTCCAGGCTTAAGAAAGTTCATGTTCATGGTTTTTTTAATGGGAAACTGGGGCACATCTCTGGTAAAACCGACAGGCTCAACATTTCCAATAAAATCCAATAGTTCCTGCACATTGATGTTTAGACTTTTAATGCTAAGGTACACATCTCTTAGGCTTGGCTCAATTCGATTGGCTTAAAAAAAAAAGAAAAAAACGAAATAATAAAATACACATATATAAAGTTTTTAACAAAACCGTTTAGGGACTCACCGTGCTCCGTATGACCATGGAGGTCACGCGCAAATTCTTGCATAAATTTTTGCATAATGTCTTGTAACAACTCCAAAGGTGCACTCAGTGTACAGCTGTAACCAATATTTTGTGTTATCTGCGCAATAACAACGAGGCCCAAATCCGAGGAATACTTTTCTGCCATTGTATTTCATATGCTTTTCGGTGTTTATACTTCTATGTTCTTTCTCCAATTATACTACTACTTATCGACTTGTATGTCATGAATTGGTTAAGCTAAATATTTTAAATAAGGTTTACGAACTATTTTAGTACGCTTGCTCTACTTTCTTGATTAAAAAAATTTAATTTATCGACCCAATCAATACTTTGATAACTAAAACAAATCCAAGTCGTCAAGCTAGCTTCAATAAGTTATTGTCAGATAAGAAACAATGGAATTGGCACGCAAGTCTGTTTTTTCTACAAAATAAAACTAAACATCATCTTATATCAATATATATACCTTGCAGTTCTAAAGATCTGATTTAAAAACTTAAGCTAGGTTTAATTTAACTGAATTAAAAACCAATATTAAAAAATTCTGCTAGCTACTATAAGGCGGCAAATGGTAGAAGTAAAAATTGATCCCTGTGAATGGGTATCTCGCGGTAGAGTGTAGAAGTTATAAGGTATGTAAAAAAAAAAATTAACATCATCTTATATTAATATATATACCTTGCAGTTCTAAAGATCTGATTAAAAAACTTAAGCTAGGTTTAATTTAACTGAATTAAAAACCAATATTAAAAAATTCGGCTAGCTACTATAAGGCGGCAAATGGTAGAAGTAAAAATTTATCCCTGTGAATGGGTATCTCGCGGTAGTGTGTAGAAGATATAAGGTATGTACATATATTGTTTTTGACATTTATTTAAAACAGGTATATGGTCGTATTAAAAATGATTTTAGCTTATTTTCATTTCTTCTTTTTAATATCTTTTATTTATTTATTTTAGATATGTATTTCTGACGTAGCGCTACCAAGACATCCCAAACATAAAAAAAAACATAATACATTTTCACATTGAGAAGATGAATTACAAACCCGCAGAAATGCAAAGTATCGATAAGGCTAAAAACTATTTCTCTGAAAGTGGAATCCTAGGACCAACGAATTTTGAAAGTTCGCGTGACTTGATTCGCAAAACTTCCACCATCCACAATAATACAACTCTAAAAAATCAGGTGAAACAATAACTTTTTTAGATTTTTAGATCTTTAGATTTTAGATCTTTATTACAGATACGAAATACATCAGTGTGTCTCCGGTCAAGAGTGTCTAAAGACAAAAGTGCAACAAAAAGTTACGACGATTCCCTAATTTTGCTTCAAAATGAAATTTGTAATATAAAAAATATTTTAGTCCATGGTGACACTAAAATTATAGTACTGCGTACTGAAATTGGTAAACTTAAGGTAAGAAATGTTTGTTTTTAAGTTAATATTGGTGGTACAAATTAAAGGTAAATCTCGGGGTCTTGGTAAAACGTTCACGTTGTTTTCTTTTTTTGATTTTAAGCCGATTGTTTGGCAATCGTTTTTTTTACCGTTATCGTGATACTTGGTAAAATTGGGGAAAAACAAATGTCCCTTGGTTCTGTGGCACTAAGAGTTTTGTTTCAAAACCTTTTCAAATTAAAACTTCCCAACATTATTTGGGCATCCCCGTATATAAGATTTTGGACTTGCTTGTTTTTAATATTTTATGTTTACAACATTTTTTTCAGCAAGCACTTCAAGCAATCATAAACGTCCAAAAGGAAGACCGAAACTGCTCTCCTGAAATCGTTAAGAGAGTTTATAATCCGACGCCAAGTCCTTGTTTATTTTGCCAGCCATAAATATTTTCACAAATGAAGGAAGCAAAAAAATAAACTGAGTAACATACCAGAGACCAGAGAGAATGGCAAAGCAAAATATTGTTGTTTATACTTGTTATTTATGTAATGATAGCGTATTATATTCAATAGGTCGTTTTTATAATGTAGTAGGCTTTCTAAAATAGCTTAAAAAATTAGTTTCATAGAAATAAAAGAAAATAAATTTACCCCTAAAGTATTTCGAGTGTACGAGATGTGTTCAAAAAGTAAGGTGACTTTGTATTTTTTACGAGCAAAATATGTATTTCTCAATATTTATGCCATCTTCAAAATAATCGGATAAAATACGTTAATGACAACGGTTTAAGTAATTAAATAAAAGGCCCATTTAAAAAAATAAACTCAGAACGCTTTTTAATGCTAATAAAATAGTACGCAGTTTGCAGACTGTCTCCCTTAAGAAACTGCCTGACTATTTTAGTTTAAGGATTCACGAGGATGTCGACATGACCTTTGAAAAATTCAACAAAACGAATTTGTATTTTTATCGGTTATCGGTGGTTTCACGTTTTACTCGCGTTTCGCTTATCGTTGACTGTGCCTATGCGCACGGCACCACAGCTTCCACACTTCGGCGCTGTACCGTTAATTCCTTTTGCACGCAGCACGACCGAGGACCGACATTAATAATCATATTACGAAAAATTTTCGATAACTTTAGGTCTTTTAGAAGATCGAAATAGATTTGCGGACAGCCGTACATGTCTAGATCAACCTAATTTCAGTAAATTAACTTTTAGCTTTAGAAAACTGACTACATTACCAGTCATACTAGTGTACGTTTAAAATCAACCTTTTTTGTACAAACAAAATATAGTCAATTGAAATACTTTTTATTTGTTACATGGCATACTGGATGAGTTTATTGAGGTTAATTTCATCTATTACATTTGCAATAATAGCGTAATATATACAAAAAATCAATAACGTTCTTATAATGTAGGCTTACTAAAATAACTTTAAAAACTAAGATTCATAGAAAGCACTTTGTAAGCTTATTAGAAACAACATATATTATCTCCGAAAATAAAATTACTACTAGAGTATCTCGAGTATACTTATATGTACTACTAAATAACAAAGTATAAATTCAATACTTTGGTGAATTATTATTTGTTTATGTTATTATTAACAACAGAAATTTAAGTCTTGGTAAATCGTCTTCAACTTGATTGTAACAGATTTCTATACTAAAAGTATTACATAAAAAAATCAAAAATAACAATTAGCTAATGGAGAAAACACCTGAGGCCTGTAATATTTGTTGTTTAATGTTATATTATATATATAAATATATTCAAAGTAAGAAATTAGATTTTGCTGTAAAAATCCGAAAAAAAAAGTTTAAAAAGACCGAATGTGCCAGAACTTTGTTAAAAATTCATATATAAGACAAATATAAAAATGCACAATTGTTTTTGAAACCAAAAAATTTAAAAAAAAATACATCTTTATGGGGTAGATAATCTGCATTGATTTTTAAGATAGCTTTAAAGAAAAAAATCATCATTTAAAAGTAGGTCGGAAATATTATACCATGAAGCTTCAACACGATTTAAGTATATTCAACTATAAATTTACGGTTTTAATTGAAATAAATTACATCCCATCCAAATCTACTGACTTTCACTTTTAAGTTGTGCACTTTATACCTAATATCATTATTTATTGAGAGCAATTCAATGTGTTCATCAGGCCAATCAATTTGAAAATATAAGCAATAAGTTTTAAGCAAACTATATCCTTGTCATAACAGTGCTCCTTAAATGTTAAAAATTAAATCAGAATATAAAAACAATTTGTAAAATATAACAATAAAAGTTGTACCGGGGTCCTATAATCAGAATATTGTTCTATAGAAGAGATCGTGAGTTTCCTAAATTTGAGTTAGGTACCCAAGAGTAGATTGTGCACAAATTTGATTGATTGTAAGTTACGATAAAACGATTAAGACGATAACAACAAAATATTAAGTAAGAGAGAAAACTTCAATTTTATTTAGTTATTTTTTCGATTATTTATTTATTAACAAAAAATTCAATATCCATTGGTAAAATGAAAGAGAGACGATTAGGGTCAAACCGAACATAGGCGAGAAGCATTAAACTATCGGAGTACAAACGAATTTCGAGAAGAATTATAACAAAGAGCGATTGTTAACAGTAAAAAGGTTTAAACATTAAATGCGAACGCACATGCCTATTCATAAAATGTCTCACACATTATTTCTTCATTAATTTTTATTGGTATATATCCCTATGGTAATTGATAAAACTGAACTGAAAAAATTGTCTATTAAGTGAAAACTGTTTTCTTAACTTAGTTAGGAATTGTTCAGTTTCAAATCTGTAAGAACAAATTAGACTGCAATTTGGAAACAAATTTTGAAACCAGACTTTCAAAATATAATTTATTACCTATTTTTAGAAAGGTTTCATTTTTTTTCTATTTAGTAGGCTAATTTAGAGGTCAGTTTTCTGCATTCATTAAGAATTCTTAAACATTATCTTGTTTAAATTAAAGTATACATTTTTAATTGGGATAACAAAGACTGCAAAATTAAAAGTGTTCCCTAACTAAGATAACGACGGGTCTTTCGTGAATTTTTTTCTAGTTAAACTTGAGTTTAGAAAACAAAGTAAGTTCCTTGCAATAAGAATTGGATGACACTCAAAAATGAAGGATGTATCTGCAACTGTTTGGTTTGCTTAACAGCTGTACACAAAATATATTGACAGTTTAAGTTACAAAGCCTCATGAATTACTGTTCTGAAGCGTAAGTGGGGGGGTTTGCCTCAGTTTATTCTAAGTTATGCCTATAACGACGCAGCCTTGCACTGTTTTCAATTTTAGGATCCCCCGGTGGTGGCGAAATGTTACACTTCGGCTGCTCCTCAGTGGAACATTCACTCAATGCAATGGTACTAGGTTCTTCGTTTTCAACAAACTGGGCTCCAATTTGTTTATTTCTTTCAGGGGTCACAAAAGTAGCGTTGTCATCCAAATTCCCTAGCATTGCATTGGGAATGCCACGTGTCCTTCAAAGAGATAGATATGTGACCAGAACTTTATTTATTTATTTAAATTAATAGCTTACCTGCTGCAAGTTCGCGATCTAGGTCTTGGAAACTTTAATTGCAATTGAGTTGGGTCAGTGACGTACTTTCCTTCAGTGGATTCTCTTCGACGCCGTAAGCCTAGTTCAATAAACCACATACGTTTCATGGAAAAGATAATAATAAAGGCTCTTATGATTGTTTCTTCGACTGCATATTAAAGCTATACCATATTATTTACAAATAGGACAAACCTGGTGTAAGATCCGTCATATTAGGAGGATGTTCTAAGGCAATGGAATATGAGTTTTTGCAAACAGGAGTAAGATCAGTTTCTGAGTTTGGCGTGTCAAATTGTGGATTTTCAGAGATTTTCAGTGGACCTCCTAGGCACTGAAATGTCTTAGATGAGTTGGTTGTTGTATCAGAACCCGCCCACGATGCACATTTTGATTGGCGTACTGGTATTTTGCTGGGATTCAATAAGGGAAGCTCACATTCCAACGAAGTCTCCTCGAATCCGGCATCACTGTTTCTAGGCAATGGAGTTTTAGAGTCATTTGCATAAATGTTTTCTTGATTTTTCATTGAATTGCTTATTTCACTATTTCCATTGAGCTTTGGCTTATCGATTCCGACCGAATGTGCTCTACGGAAATGAGCTTCTTGAGATTGAGATGCTTCTGAACTGTGTTTTTGATTTGGTATCGTAAAGGTATTGATTGTGTTTGTCAAAGAAGTTACTGGTGTAGCTTTTGCTTCTATTTCATCACAGAAAATTGGGACCTTGGGTAAAAAAGCGGGTGTTTGATTTGCTGTTGGGGTAATTTTAACAGCTGCCAATGCATCATAGTAGACTGAATCTTCAAGTTGCGAGGTTTCTAAAAGAAATACCAAAATATATAATTTATTACTCTTTTTTAATAAAATAAAAACAGTTTTATAATAACCAATACTTCTGTTTTTATGAAAAGGGTTATAAATCTTGTTAATGTTTATGTCAGGTTTATAATAGGTTGTCAGAGAAATAATCTTTATTCTTACTGTTTAATTTTAGCAAAAAAAAAACACTTTTTTTAAGGGGATAGGGATGGGGAATAGGAAGGGAAAGAATTATAATATGTTAGTTGTTTTTATCCTACACTAAAAATTATTTACACGGCAAAACAACGTTTGCCTGGGTCGCTAGTCTATTATACATCTCCCTAGTGCATAGGGACTCTCATAAAGAATATATGCTTAATGTATCAACTAATTCTTTCTACCTGTTGTACACTTTTCCTTTTACTCCGCGAGTAACTTGAATAAAAAACAAAATATGTTCACCAAATACCTTTTGGAATAACACGAATCTCCAGTCGACCACTAATGCATCCGTTGTTTTCCTGGTGTACTGGGCCCAACGCCAATTTACTTCTTTGGCAAGAAATTGTCTGTACATCCCAGGGTTTGTTGGAGTCCTCCACCAGCATAGCGTCTGAGCTCGATTGTGTCGGTTTTTCATGGATAATATCGGAAATTGTAACATTGGGAAGGCTACTCCGATGATAAGATATAGTTCGACCATTAGCTGATGTATTTGACTGAAACGTCTTGTCTTCTTTGAAGGGTAAAGGTAAGACAGATTTAGTAGGCTTAGATTTTTCCAAGGGATTGGGATTTATTTCCGAATAAGATTCTCGCACGCAAATATTCCTCGCTATATCCATGCGATATACCTGAAAATTAAATCATTTTTATTTATTAGCTTTTAATTTAGAGAAAGTATACTCGTTTAATTCAACCTCTGTTTTACTTTTATTCTTTTGGTATGTCTAAAAACGTCTTCCCATAAAATTGTAACAAAATAAAGGGAATTTATTTAGAATGCTTACTGTATCATCAAATGCGGCTTGTTGCACAGCCGGTGGCTCCAAGTCTTGACGCAATACATTACCAATAGCAGGCTCAGACCAGCAGTGCGGTATGGAGATTCTTAACGATTCATAGTTTTCGATTCCAGTTATGTTCAGTGTATACCTGTGGTAAGGGAATCCAAATTTATTAAAATGCCCCAGAATTAAAGGAGATATGATTTTAGCAAACTGAACCCTGTTGACCCTTGTATTAAAACTTTAAAAATAAAACCTTTGAAATCCAAATTTCCAAAAGAATTGTTTGATAATATATTTTCTGCAACAGCAAAAACACTTTTGCTATATTTCCAAGAGTAAGTAGACACAACAAATCCTCGCTTATTTCGAATTAATAAAAATCGCACGACTTTATCATATCATATAAAAAATCATCGGAAATATAGAAAATTAATAGTTAATAATTATAATAATTGACATAGTTTCGATACTGTTTCTTGTCAGTTCTAAAATTCCTATATGTTAATTCTGATGCTCTGTTCTGTTAGAGCGTATTCACGACGTTTATTTCTATACACAGTGATTTTGTCCTTTTTGTTACTCACCTTTTTGGTCGCTCTTTTCCTTCTATTGAAGAATTTATAGGCTTTCCTTGATTAACGGCGACGTTTTGGGAAAATTCTTTGGCCTCATTTAGGGGCATTGGAATATCCAGTTTAGTTAATTGCTCCAAATTGGGTTGAGACTGTGAGGCGAAATGTACGTGGTATACTTTTCATGGTTTTAAACAATTGCGTTAATATATTTAAAACAAGATACAACATTTCATTTTACGAGTCCATTATTAAAAACATTAGAAACAAATGATTATTTTAGCAAAAATTGTTAGAAAAAAAAGAAGTTCATTACAACTACAGGAAGACATTTTTAGCTTTCAAAATTATTTGTGGAGGGATTTCATTTTACCTGTGGTTCTCGATTCCATTCGTTGTCGGTTGTGTCCTCTGAGTCATCGAATTGACTTTTCCATTGAGATGCCAGTGTAAGCGCTCCTCCTTTGGTTACTTGTTGTAACGCCGAGACGTTTTCGTCGTCTATTAATGCATATTGGGTGACCGAATGATCACCAGCAACGCTGCTTCTGGCGGTGATGCTTCCAGTACCAACACCTCCACCTGCCGATCCGCTATAGATCTTCTGAGTTGAACTTGTGTTGGCTCCAGAGGAAGACGGCCTTAAATTGGTTGATGTTGCCGAACGTCGATTTACTGGCGGCACGACATTCATTCCAAAAATCTGGCTATGTTGGTTCATGGCAAATTTCGAGGACGAGCTGTTGCCGGCGAATGGCCCAGCATTGGCGCTGGTTGAAAACTGAGTATGTGGTTCGGGTTTCACTGATAAATCAGAGCCTGGCAGGCTGACTCCACCGGCTGTGAAGTCATGTACACTCATTGGAGGGGCTGTAAGCACACGAAGACGACCAAACGTTGATTTTGGTTCGTCCGCCGACCGCTGGACTTCAGAGCAGTTGTCGTAAGCTGCTGATCCTAGTTTCTGAATTTGCTTGTTGGCGGGCTCCGATAAATTAAGTTTACCTATTTGCAACTTTTTATGTTCGACCCCGCAAAGGGAAGCTCTACTTGCACTTTCAGTGGCCGGTGTATCCACGTTTTTCTGCTCAAATGTTCCCTTGCCAGCGACGTCGACTATACTTTCGCTTTCTGCCTTCGGATTTGTCGGTAAAAAATTGTTTGTTGGTGCTTTATCCTCCAGTTTTGTATACTAAAAACAATGAGCATTTAAAAAAAATAAGAAAAAGTAAGTAAGTAAGTCTTTTATCTTACAGAATTTCCGTACACCGGAGCAGAATTATTTTGATTGGTTGCCGAAAACGATCCAGCCCCGTTGTTCTGGGGCTGAGAGTTCTTTGTATAAGCTACTGTCTGTAAGACATCCTGGCTTCCTGTAACAATTGTTGGAGACTTGATCGGTGCACTTTGAATATTTGTTGGGGCCGCTTGGGAGTTTGTAGCCAGCGTAGACTGTTGTTGCAGCAAGCCCTTTAAAGTGATATTTTGATTGTTTGCCGTATTACCAAGATGTGCAATGCCTTCGTGTGATTCCTTTGGTTGCTTGGCTAGTAAAGTTGCATTGCAGTTTTTGTCAACCTTTAAAAAATTTAAGATTACAATTATTACACATAAACATAAATCTACGTAAGATATTTCATTTGTTTTACTTACTTTTTCCTTCATATTTAAGGGCTCAGTGGCTGTAATGTGAGCGGTTTCGATGTCAGCTCGCTTTCGAACCTTGATAAGAAATAAAATATTATTGTGATAGATAGATGTTAATTTTACCTTACTTTTTTTACCCTTGCACAGCAAAAGGGTATTATAATTTCAGTCAGAAGTTTGCAACGCAGTGAAGGAGACACCTCAGACCCCATAATGTAAATATATATTTGATCAGCATCACGAGTGGAATCAGAATACGTCTGTACGTCTGTCCGTCTGTCCGTTTCCGCGCTACAAGGGTATCAAAATTATCAAGACGTCATTTTCACTGCGTTTCAAACTTCTGACCGAAATGCCCTTTTCAAGGGTATAATAAGCTCCAAAGATTGTAAAAGTATTTGTTCTGTAGGGTACTAATTGGAAACTGAAATATTTTTATCACCTCTTTTTTATAAAAATTGTAGTTTAAGTATCGAATAACTTGTGCACTTTTAGCCACTATTTCAATTGGTTTATTTCGAAATCTCGAAAGTTAGTAAAGTTTTAAGTTAAGTCTGTATGGCATGAGGACTTACGTATTCCGTCCCGCTGGCGTTAGATGCTGCCACAGTCATTTGTGTGATATTTCCGTGCATGTAATCGTTTTTAACGGGGAGTAATGGGTTTCCAGTTGTTGCATTTATGTTACTAATCGCCGTAGAGTCCACCTTTTCCCAGTCATATGGATCAGACTCTTTTACACCGCGTCTTTTCATACACCGCTCAAACAAACCGATAAGCATCTGAGAATGTAAACAATTTTATTTTCGAATATTGATATGATATTGATATTGATATTGATATTACCGCGTAGTCCGGTCGGTCCGCGTAGGTTAGAGATTGAATATGCTCTAGAAATTGCTTTAAATCTGATGGCAAATGTTTTAATAGTATTCTGTGGTCATATTTCTCCTTTGTTAAGCCAACTTGTTCCTTGTCTTTTATTTTACGCCACGGCAGTTGACCATTAACAAATTCGACGAGCATATAAAATAGCGACCAGAGATCGTCATGACGTCCCATTTCCCTATTGCGATGTGCATTAATAGAAGCATATCGAACAGTACCACGAAAACCTGCTGCAGCTCTGGGGCACCGAACCTCACCGGTGCCAGTGGTATACTGGCGCGCCAGGCCAAAGTCGAGCATATAGACGCGTCGACAATTATAAGGCAATCGACCCACAGAAAAGTTGCTCTAAAATATCATAAGGTAAAGGTAAATATGTTGCTTAGTTCATGGTAGAATTATACAAGGTAGTCTCGTCGGCTGCAAAATCGTTCGGGTTTTTTCCCCCTATGGTTCAGTGCGCTCGGGATTTCGAAGTGAGAGGTCGTACGCGGAGGATTTTTTCTCAAAACGTTAACCCTTGTGTGCTTATGAAAAATACTTGTTGCAATTATTGCAGCAAGCACATACAAGGCGTAACATGTAATATTGCAGAAAAATATTTTGAAATGTGAACAATATGGGAGCGAGTCCTAAAGGGCAGCTTTGGGTAAAAACCAAAAATTACGGAACAATTAATACTCATTGTCATATAACAGTCCTTTTTAAACCACGTGCACAGCATAAGGGTTTTACGACATCATCTTCTTCTGTTTCTTTCGCACTTACGGGAAAACACCCTCCCACTCGCACTTATTGTAGTGACCAATAGGGGGAAAAAAAAAGCCGACGAGACTACCTTGTACTTATTATACCATGGCTTAGTTTATGTAATATCTGATAATTTCAGAAAAAAATATTACCGGTTTAATATCACGATGAAGAAATCCAACAGAATGTATTGATTCTATGGCTTTGAGAATTTGTAACCCTAACCTAAGTGTTGTGCTAAGCGAAAATGCGCCGCGCGGCTGAGCGCGACGAAGTTCCGCTAAATTTTTTCCCTGAAGCTGCATCACCACGTAATTAAATCGATCATTGCGTCCGCATCCGATGAATCTACACACATGCTCCTTTCCTTGCAATTTCTTCAAAACGGCAACTTCCATTTTCAACACCTGCTTGGGTTGACGTGCGGACTCTACTTTGAGAGCGACCTGTTCTCGTGTAATTAGGTCTTGTCCCTCGTAAATTTCTCCAAAGCCGCCCCCACCGATTTTGCGCACCACCTGCGAAATAAAACAATAATTTCATTAACAACAATTTTATTATATAGAAGGGTTTACATATAACTCACTAGTATAATAATCACCTAATAATAAACAAGAAAAGAAACATTAAAAAGGAATCTTATACACCCTTTAAAGAATGTAATTTTTTTTTTTTATGCACCCTTGCAGGTAAAAATGAAATGTAGAAAACGGATAGACTGGAAAAATACTAGTTCTCCAGTCTTGTCAAACTTTCCCATGCTTTTCTTATTTCTATGGCAGTTATATGATATAGTAGTCCTATCTTCATATACACATAGTTATAATGCGGTACTTTACAATTGTTTGTTATAGTAACAAATTGCTAAAGGTCGGACAAAATGAAAGAGAAGTAAGAAAACAACATCTGCAAAAAATAACGGCGTTTTAATTTGTTTTCCGTTCCCGATCGTTCCTATGGGAAACTATGGGTAACTTGGAACCAATTCAAAATACCAAAATTTTGTCTTCAAATAAATATATAAGCTTATGTTAGTTTGTGAATAAAATTCAACCCAAAAATGTGTATTTTGAACATTCACAATATCCAAATACATAAATTTAAAACGCACCTTCCAACGCTCCTTTACGACATGGCCCGGTTGCAACAAGTCCTCCGAAGTCATTTTGCACGCCTCTTTATCCCTCTGACCTACACCTATTCTGGGCTTTTCAGCGGCAGGAAGCTGAGTTTGTGGCGGATTCGAATCAGAAGCAGGTGTTGTCAGTGATGGCACTTGAAAAGTCACACGGCTGCGAGCCCCTAAACGGCTGTGTTTCGCTGGCAGAGTTGCCGACCGCTGCAGGACATTTGGATAACGGTGCTCCTCTAATGCAACCGTGTCTGGTGATGCATTCACTCCAGAATTTATGTGTTGAAGAAGGCGGGATTGCAGGAAAGCACCGGCGAGAGGAGGTGGTTTAAATGGCGGTGGTGGATGAAGTCTCAACAAATTCTTTTCACAATCACGGTTGTGACTTATGTACTGCTCCCTATTGGAGGGAGGCTGACAAGTAAGTTTACAGCCGTCTGACGGACTTGCATTATCGCCGTTTCTGGAAATAAAATGGAAATTTTATAATTAGAACTATATTTACAAATGTATTTATAACTCATTCAATTTTTGTAAGACACTTAGAAACTTACGCCCAAGTCCTGACAAATAAGTAACATTCTAAGTTGCCTTTAGAAAGGCAGCACCAACGATAGCTCTACATATTTTGAAATGGGCAGAAATTTTAAATTTTGGCAATCTGGTCACAGAAACGCCAAAATAATGTGTTACTTATATCAACATTTTTCAACGAATACGTTATTAGAGCAATAACAATTAATGTATGAACATATAAGTGTGCCCACGGTTATCGGAAAAATTAAAGAAATCTCGTTTGAATTTATCAAATATACCAGTTTTAGTATCACATATACCAAAACATACTACTAAAAGAATAAACTGTTCCGACCTGTTAAATAATTTTAAAGTTTTAATAAATTTAAATTTGTTATTAAAACCTTGAACAATCTTTTCTCCGACAATTAAGTGTTATTAAAAATATGCAAGTATCGGTCATACTCTTTTATCTAAAAATATGGTAATTGTTTAAAAGTACTGTCCACGGTAAAAAAAACTGCTTAAAAAAATAAAGTAAAATATGCAAATGATGTGTTTTTTTTCTAACATTTCGAAATCCGTTGGCGGAGAGTGAAAATTTAGCATGTGATGTGTCTGGTGGCGGATTATTGCAAATACGGTCGCTCAGATTCGAGTTTGTGCTACCAAATTTCGACAATCCCCTGGATTTCTTGTAAGACAGTTAAAATTTAAAGTTCAACACGTACGTAACCAAATACTTGGCGGGAAACAATTTAAAGATGGTACAACTTAACAATTTTCGCGTGGTTGTTGCGAAAATCAAACAAAATTTGGTCGACTGGAAACGACAAAATAAGCAACCATACAGATCAAGAAACATGGTTGCCATGCTAAAAAGGTTTAATCTTTCCGGTGTGTTCAAGTTTAAACGAGTAATTGCGAGTGGTAAATTACCCTGATTGACATTTGAATTTATTATTATTTGACAATCAAATTAAATCAAATACATTTTCTATCTTTTTTAGTAATATGCCTATTGGAAGGCTTTTGGTCTACGCAAGGAGTGGCCAAGGAATGGAATTCATTCAATGGATCGAGCGTCAACACTTAAGGATTGCGTCGGATCCACTGGCGACTGCGGATCACATATAAATACACATGTAATTGTAAGTTGTTTTTGTTTAATTTTGACTGCAATAGGGGGAAGAAAAAGCCGACGGGACTACCTTGTAGTTATTATACCATGGTTCGGGCTTAGTCCCTTAACGTGCATTGCTCCTCACATGGTACAATTATACAAGGTAGTCGCGTCGGCCATTTCTTCCCCCTATTGCGCACTACAATGAGTGCGAGTGAGAGGGTGTTTTCCCGTAAGTGCGAAAGAAACAGAAACAGAGTGTGTTGTTTAACCCATATACTGTGCATAGGGTTTAAAAAGACTGTTATATGACAATGAGTATTAATTGTTTCGTAATTTTTAGTTTTTACCCAAAGCTGCCCTTTAGGACTCGCTCCCATATTTTTACCCTTTCAAAAAATATAATTGTATAATTGGTATAATTGTACCATGGCTCCTCATGCTTTTCAAATTAAAAGGTTGTTTGCGGAAGCTTTTGTTCTAACCACATTATATTTTTTTAACTACACAATATTATTATGTAATTATAATATTATAATAATCTGCTAGTTTTTTCGGTTCTCTAAACTAAAGAAAACTAGCTTTTAGACTCGATTTTCATTTTATCTTGGTTTATTTACTTTTTCTCTTGTTTTGTTTACTTAAGGGGTTATATACCTTTTTCACGAGAGAAATACAGGGTTTTTATTTATTTTTTTTTAGCATGTTACCATTGTTTTATTTAAATTCAATAAAAATTTTATCAAAGTACGTGTCCTTAACTTAATACGTAAAAAAATTTCTAGTGAAAATTTTGAGAATTGTGGAAGTTATAGTCCTTGCCGCAGAAGTCCTTTTTTAAGTAGTGGCTAACGGTGAGCATGAAAACAAGAAAACGGCTCAACGAAAAAAAAAACTACGTTAGTATATAGTGTTACCTAGTTCGTGAACGAAGGATTTTACGAAAAAAAATTTTTACGGTTACAGTGATTATTTTTTCAAAAAAAAACGATTTTTCGAGGTCTAATAATTTAGTTTTTCGCCCCAAAAAAATAGAAAAATTTGTCGAAAATATAATTCCTTCGTTCACGAACTAGCTATTGTATCTACAAACAATCCCCCAAAATTTCAAATCGATCGATGTAGTGGTTACCGAGATATCGTGCTCACCGCAATGACCTTTTCTCAAAAATGCGATTCCGAGATAATCGCCTTTAAAGTTTTAGGTGGACATTACGTACACCGTACACCGTGCGCTATGAACGGCTGTATCTTAGGTTCTAGTGCCCCGATCTCTACAAAATTTTGCAGAAAAATGGTTCAAAGTATGTACATAAAAAAAAAATCATAAAATTTTTTTTTTGATTTTTTGAGCTTGAAAAAGGTATATAACCCCTTAAACATCGAAGCTCTGCCGATTTTTTTTATTAAGTTTCTATATTTTCGATGATTGTTCATATAAAAGCTATATAGTCGTACGATTTTTATGAATTTAAATGCGAAATTCAAGAGTGATAAGAAAACTTTATATTTAAAAAATCAAGCTTTTCTAATGAAAAACAACAATATTATCATTTTTTCCGTTAATTTCCGTTAACTCTTAATGTATAGATTTTTCGATTTTTCCTAGGGCAATTTCATATCGCGATTCAATGTTTTTAAAAACTCGATGTTCCAAATATCATGGTCGTGGAATAAAAAACAACGACGTAATATTTTTTTTATTATTTATATATAGGTATATTTTTCGATCTTTCCTATGGCAGCTATATGATAGAGTTATCCGATTTTCTTAAAATTTTATTATAAACTCGACAGAATTTAAAAAACATCATCAGGAAGAAGTTAAATCGATATGATCAAAAATAACGGAGCAATAATTTTCTTTTTCAATCTCTCGTATGGAAGCTATCCGATATAGTTGCCCGATCCGTTCCGACTTATATACTGCATGCAATAACTATAGAGCTTTTGAGAAAGTTTCAGCAAGATAGCTTTAAAACTGAGAGACTAGTTTGAAGATCTGAGCTGATCATAAAAATCGGAATACTATATCATAAAGCTGCAATTGGAAAGATCAAAATATAAAAATAATCAAAAAAATTATAATTTCGTTGTGTTTTCTCCCACGACCATGATTTTTAGAACATCTATTGTAGTTTTTTTAATTCCCTTGAATCGAGAAAAATATTTCATAAAAATCGGACAACTTTATCATATACATATAAGCTCAAGACGAAAGAATTGAGTTCTTGAGAGTGCGAACAATTATTAAGACAGAAGCTGAGGCGAAAATTTCTTTATTAAAAAATAATATTATTAAATATAAATATATATTATTAGTATTAATTTATTAATAAACAAATTTTTGCCATCATGAGCTAGATAACTTACATGTAATACCCCAGATATTTATTTAAGTCAAATCGTCATGGAACTATACAAAATTTAAAATAATTTAATTGATAAAATAGTTCAAGCTACAAAGAAATTTTGTCATTCTTTTTGTACATTTTTTTTTTTTTACATTTTTGACTATTTAACTGTTACACCGATAGAATAGGAAGCATATGTTTTTCTGATAAATAAAATCAGTTATGTAATTTTTTGAACTTATTAGCAGGTTTAGCACAATTTACAGTTTTTTCGCTTAAGTGCCATAGAAACGTGTTTTTGTTATTTCCACCCTTTAAAAAAACATCCCCTGAACACTAATAAAACGCCTAAAGACACTTCCCTTCGGTGCTTTGCACATACTTTTTTTTTGTTAACATTTTGTTTTTGCAATATTTTTCAAATTCTAGGCTTAAACTCAGTAATTTAATAATCAATATTTTCGGACCGAGACAAATAAAAATGTAATGTAGTTGTGAAAATTGATATTTAAGTATTTAGGAGTCTTTCTAATTGAAATGTGACGTTGTTCTTATACTTACTAAACATTTTTTACGGATTATAAGTTACGGATTATAAGTTGATATTCGAACGTACTTATTAATATTTTATCAAAAATATTTGGTAAACTCTTTCTTATGTAGTTCGGAATATGTATGTTGACTTATATTGTTTCATTTAAAATATCCTTTTTTTGGTGGTGAATAAAAAGTTTAGATATTTCCTTCAAGACGCGCACGATTAACTTATAAAATGTTGAATTAGTTTGCTATTGTATATTTAAACACTTTTAGGGAAATAAAATACATGTATCGATTGGTAAGCTTCTGCAAGCTTTCCTGTTTAACTAAAGTTTTCTTATTAATTGAACTCAAAGCCAGCTGACGAAAAATAAGCTTTTCTTTTCCGGAGGGGTGGGAGTATTGCGCATGCTCCTTTATGGGCAAGGCGACCTCAGGACCTAATCGATTTCCCACCTAACTATCGAATATTCATTTGTTCAAAATTATATTCAATCAGACTTTAAGTTTTATGCTTAACAAAACCGTTCTTCCCGATAACTATAACCGTTCTTCCCGATAACATCCCGATAACTATCGGCCATATTGGCATTTTCTTGACCTCGCGAGATCCGACGACCTAGTCTAACGTATGCTCCTTGAGTTTTTCTTTTCTAGGAATGTAAATAATAAAGTTTAATTGGGAATGTATAAATATATACAAAACAACTTGAATGCAAAAATAAATATTTTTAATTATCTTCTGTAAACTTGGCAAACTTGAAACTGCTTCTCACTGTAAACGAGCCTTTGCTGAGCTTGTAATTTTTTTTTTTTTTTTTTATCTAACAATCAAAAAATTTTTAATGAATGTAAAGCTTGTATTTTTTTGTATCAAATAATGCTCCAAGTCAGTATTGCATTATACATCATTACGAAATAAACCTAAGTTTAGTTTGGTTTACTTGTTCTGCAAAGAAAATAATAATACTTGGCATCCTGAAGTTTTTGGTGGAAATTTTTATATTGCTTGCGTTAGGCATCCTATTTGATTTTGTAAACCGCAAATAATATCAAATATATATATATATATATATATATATATATATATCTATACAGAAGTAATTAGGCTTAAAAGTTGGTTGCTTCATTGGCTTCAACTGTTCCTGCTTATGTATTTTTAATTTGAAAAGGTCATTTAATTTACTCTTAAAATGTTCTTAATGACTAGAAATAGGGTTTAGTCTCAACATTGAGTATAAAATTAAACATACCTGAGATAGTCCTGTAAATGCATGTTGTCTTCAACGTAATTGTATCCAATCTTTTTGTTGAAACTTTTTTTCATATATTGGGGCTTTATCTTTTTTCCTTGCGTTTATATGCTTAGGCCTTTAAAAAACACATTTTTAAGTACATATATAATTTACAAATTAGTTCCGATTGGAACAACCGTTGGCACAAGTGCATAATATCTCATGGAGATTACTTTCAAGGGGACAAAATAGATATTCATGAATATAAAAATAATTTTTGAAAAAACACAAAATTCGCGATACTTTTTGAACACACATCGTATATGTTGAATAAATGAAATCCTGATTAATACGATTAATCCTGATTACGGAATATATAGTAGCCATTTCGTTTGTAGACATATAATTTTTGATCCAGCCATTAATTTAAATTATGAATATCGTACATCGTAAATAGAACCGAGCCGTTGTAAAACATTAAATACATAGTTCCCAAATTTTTTTTTTAAATTTTGAATATCGTTTTGAACTTAGTATTTAGTATACGAGAAACCATAATGAACTTAACACAAACATTTTAAATTAAATTAAATATACAAAATACAAGTAAAGTTAGTTTAACAATTTTATTAATATGTAAATTGTATTACTTAAGCTAGTTTTTTTAAAATGCATTTTTCAAAGCACCTTACAGCACACTGTCTTCCAATCATATACAGTCGAGTCCCGATAATTCGAAATGGCAAGGGGATCACTTTTTTTTTTACGAATTAGACGGGAATTCGATTTATCGAGATTTTTTTCAAGGGATTTTTTTTCAAGGGAACAGAATTTTTTACGAATTATCGCGATTTTCGATTTAGCGGGGTACGAATTATCGGGATTCGACTGTACTACAACAAATTTTGAGCGGATCTCCCCCAAAATTTTTTCTGCGTCTGTCCCTGCTTCACAGGTTTGATAACGGTTGTTTTTTAGCCTAACCCATGGACGTCCTAGTAACTTGGAGGGTTTGCTACTTGACTACTTTGCTGCTTTATTTTGCTTTTGTTCTGTTTTTTATTTACCGTTTTTAGTTTACTGCATTTAATATAAAAAACGTTTGTTTACGTTATGCAGACATTTACATAGGTGGATGTGCACATATAAATCTATTTATAAATCTGGCGTATTTAAATATCTTTATGATTACGTTTATTTACGAAAAGTAGGTAAGTATATGGATGAGTACATATAAATCTATTTTTAACTATCCAAATTGTTTAGACAGAAGTCCAACACAAACGTTAAGCAAACAGCATCGCGGCATTCACTTCTTCGATATTTTTTAATTTAAAGGTATAAATATATGTAAAGACACTCGTGAATTTTATGTTGAATAAATTTCAATCTGTTTAAAAATGATCACTTTTAAATTATTTTACCAACACGTTTACCATAATGGTTGGTGGATGAAATATATTTACATAAATCATTTTGAGGCCTCTACAAATTAAGTTTTGTAATTAATTTATTTTTCTATGCTAACACTTTAAAATTGTAGACAAAAGCTTTTTCACTTGAAACAAATTTATTTTTTCACTGAAGAATTCCTGGTGAATCTTTTGGCATTTCTGTGCATATTCGCTTTTGTGTGTATGAGTGCATAGCGTAGACCAGAATAAAAAGCTATCTTTAGTCAGACAAAAAATTGAAGCGATTCAAGTAAAAGAGCTTGTTTAAATGTATTTTGGTTTTTAAGTTGACATCAAATAAGTTAGATATAGGTAAATTTTAACTGTTTAACAGTAAAGATGCTAGCAAAATACACAATTCAAATTCAAAATCTAAGCTTTTTTATTTTCTTAACAGATAAACCGACCAAAAAGCTTATATGTATATAGCTTATATATATAAATTCATTAAAAGAGAACGCTATAGTCGGGTGCCCCAACAAAAATACCCGTTACTCAAATATGGAGCCAGGTGCCTTAGGTTCGTGTACCGGATATAGAGGCGTTGGGGCACAAAAGATGGTGGGCGTATTGGCTTAGGTGGCTGCATTTTTTTAGGGGTTCAAAACCCGCAGACCGGTAAAATTGAATTGAAACTATTCGTTTTTTCCGTATTCGTATTTTTTTTCAATCGAAAAATTTTTCTGTTAAGTTTCTATATTTTCGACGATTGTTCTTATGGGTGCTCTTTTTCACTGAACAATAACAACACAAATTCGGCTCCCCGGATCCGCACATCCCCTCGTCCACGTTACTATGGTCACGACAATAAAACTTTCGCCACACCTAGATGGCGCCAGGTGGCAGCCACTCCTAGATGGCGCCAGGTGGCAGCCCCACCACTAGGATAAGTAGTCGCTTCTGGCTAATGACCAGTATGATCGAAAACACCAAATATCAATTAATCCTCTACAAGTTGTAGATGCCCTGTGCTCCCAGGTGGAATTAAGAAGATATTATAGTTATAGTTAACTATATGTAATTTTGATCAACTACCTACATTTGCTACATTGGCATAATTTTATCTTGACGGAGAAAGATCAACTCTGATGATGCTGCTGACCAAGAATGGGGGGTTCAGTGCGTTACAAATTTCGGATTGATATGATAATACCGTCTCCAGTTGTATAAAATATATTATATCGTTGTTTTTTAGTACATCAGAATGGTATGGTTTATCCTAAAAAGCTTAAAAAAATGTATATAAAACTTTAAAAATTAAAAATTTTAATCATGAAAACGAGCTTTTAAAATAGAGTTTTCAAAAAGTTCTCAAATTTTGAATTATTTTACATTTTTAACAATAATAGAAATGTCAGTTTATATATGTTCCATAGAAAAAAAATTGAAAATGATGTTAGAAAACATTCCACAACAGTGTTGATGGTCTGGAAAAACAAAATGGTGTGATGCCAGCGGGACCCGAACTTACGAGCAGTTAATAAGCATCAAAACTCAAGTAGAGACATAGAAAGAGTCTACAAGCAGCAGAGCACTAATTTCGACGTGCAACTTCTCCTTGCAAAAGCAGAAGGACACAAGGCAGGGCCGGAGAAACAGTTTTGAGTGGGGTGATGACCTCACAAATTTTCAATACCAGAGGGCATACAAATAGTAGATCAGAATGCCAATGTTTAAATAAAGTGATTAAATAAATGTGAGGATATATTTTTTAAAAGCTATTTTAATAAAACAACAACACCAATCAATCAAAATGCAACAGGTAAAAAAAACTATTTTAATTGTAAAATGTTAATTAAAATCCATTTAATATTAATATAATGTTAATTTAATGTTAAAATAATGTTAATTTAATATAATGTAAATTTAATGTTAACTAAATGTTAATTAAATTAATATGGCCACGTCAGCGACAATGATAATTAATTATTTTTTTCGTTTTCTTGCACCTATAATTCCCAAGTGGTTCTGGCTGATTCGTAGTGGGATACCCCTTGATTTTGGCCAATTTCTCAGATCTCCGGGATGACCGGCAGTTTCTCTAAGAAACTTTTTCCGGTCTCTGGAAGTGTGTGTGTGTGCGTGTGTGTTAGTGACGTGGTTCCAGAGTGGGAGAGAGTATCTGGCCAACTCCTCCTACTGGAGTCCACTCCCGGATGCAGTGCATCATGGGTCGACTCCTCCTAGGATGCACTGCATCATGACCTGACTTGGCATGAACTTAAAGGTGCCCGATCCCTTCCTGCATGTAATGGACTCCAGGATGCAGGGCATCCAAACCTGAAAATGTGAGTTGCAGTTTTTTTTTTTAATTATGTGATGACGTGGCTTTTGTAAAAAAAATGCTGTTAATTAATTCAATTATTTTATATTTTTTTTTTTTCAGGTTTTTGGTTGTGTATTTGGCTGATTGCAGAAAATAATTGGTGACACCATCCAACTTGTAACTTGAAGTTCGACATCAGGATGCACTGCACCAAGGTTATTACGCAGTGAGTACATCCTTTAGACAATAAATAATTAAGTTATATATTTTAAGAAATCATAAATATTTTGACAAAGAAACTAAAAGCAACAGATAAAGATCTGAAAGTTTTCAAGAACATGAAAGAAATTTTAAAGGTAAATTTTATCAAATATTGAACTTGAAGTACATGAAAATCAAACACAATTAATAATTGTAAACAAGTAGGGACATATAATATAAATATATAATATAAATGTATATAGTAAGAATAGTTGTAAGAATGCGGTTACCGGAGATATATAGTATGCTGACACCACATAAATGGACTGGACAACAGGCTGCAGGATCAATTATGAATGGCGTGATCTTCTATTGAACTCCACTCCAGGATGCAGTGCATCACCTCATTGGGGTATGTATTTTTTATGCAACCGATTTGTATAAAATAATTTAACTAATATTTTGGAATGCTTCTTTTCATTACAGGTGATGACTATACAGGGGCGGATTAAGACAATTTGCCGCCCTAGGCAGTTTTGATTTTGCCGCCCTAGACTGCAGCCTAATTTTTACCTTTATATCATTGTTTTATTGACCTTGTGTTACACGGTTGCATGAATTTCCACATTAGGAATATGGGTTTAATCAAAGAAGCAGGTAGTGATGGTTCAGAATTCTTTATTAATATCACCTTTTGTGTCAGTTGTACATATTAACATAAGTATTTGTATATCAGTGGTTTGTGCGTTTATTCGGTTTATGTGTTCTTACGTCGTGCTTTCAGATTCGCAAAATCAGAAATGATTTCATCGCATTCTACCTCAAGTAAAACTTCCGCTTCTATTGTCAACAAAGCCAAAGAATTCAAGCGATTTTGTCCAATAGTTGATCTAAAGTAATTTTTAACTCGTTTCAAACAAGAAAACGAAAGAAATTTGGCTTTTTTCAGCAAAGGTCGAACTACTCGATGGCTGCCGCAAACGCGCGTGAAATTCAAACGCACGGTAATTTTCGGTTATAATGATTGTGCGTTTGAATTTCCGCGTGTTCGCGGCAGCGAAAAGAAGTATATTGAACAATATGTTAGAGTTGAAGACCTTAGAGTAAAAATTTTTTGTGTCTAAAGTAGTATTTTATGTAGTGTTAACAGTCGTAATTTGCCGCCCCTAAAAATTTGCCGCCCTAGGCAGCTGCCTATATTGCCTATATGGTAAATCCGCCACTGTGACTATACCTTTCTGCTTGGAGTGAACTTCAAGATGCAGTGAATAAAAAACGCAAAGAGGTAAATACCTTTTTTACTAATACCTTTTTTACTAATACCTTTTTTATTAACAAAATAATTCTAACTATTATTATTTGTAACAAATTATTTATTATATTTTGTTTGTTTTTTTTAATTTAATTTCAGGGTAAAGTGTTAAGTGTAAATGTTGCGAATAAAGTGGTTGCGGTGATTATCTTACTTCAAGAAGACGAAAGATTGCAGTGCAGATCAAGGAGCTAACTGAGTAAGTACCAATCTCATAATTATTTAAGTAGTTGTTACATTAAGTTGGAAAATGCTTAACTTAGGAAGTATTTGGGAGAGTTACTATCTATCTATTTAAATAGAAACTGATTTAATTGGGCCGTGGTAAAGGCAGGGCCGGAGAAACAGTTTTGAGTGGGGTAATGACCTCACAAATTTTCAAAATTTTCAAATACTACTACTATTGTTCATATGTTAGCTATATGATATAGTCGTCCGAAACTGTATTTCTCTCCAGAGCATCACCACTTACGCTGCCTGATCCGTATCATCCTGCCTTCGAGGTGACTAATGACACTGGTATAACAGTTAAAAATAATGCTATAATGCTATATGGTCCGATCTCTATTCCTGCAATAATGTGGAAGACGCCATTACAATTTTTTATTTGGCAATCAAACAGTTTTTTAACTCGTGTGTTTCGCTGTACATCCCGTCAACATCCAATAAACCACCTTGGTTTAGCAAAGATTTGAAACACCTTAGGAATTTAAAGTCCAGACTTTATAAAAAAAAAAAAATTTCAGGTTGTCAATCTGTTTTTGGAAAATACATAAGAGCGCGGTCGAACTTTTCCGTGCTTAACGCTCAGTGTAACAAAAATTATTTAGTCCGTTGTAGGTCCCAGTTTTTTCGGGATCCTAAACGGTTTCATAATTTTGTTAACACTAAGCGCAGATCATCTTCCTTTTCGCCTTCGCTTTCGTTTGACTGCTAATACTGATCAAACAATAGTCGATCTGTTTGCCCAATTCTTTCATAGAACTTACTCTACTCCACAGTGTCTCATTCAAGTGAGCAATATTTATACGCCATACCTAAGTCGAACTTAATATTTCGTCCTTCTTTAAACAAGAGCTCCCTTATTTTGGATCTTCAACGTGTTACACCAGTTTACTCCCCAGGTCCTGACGGGATTCCTGGTTGTGTTCTTAAATACTGTGCTAATGCATTGTGTAAACCCCTTCTCAAGCTGTTTACCTTATCCCTACAAACTTGTCAGTTGTAGATCAGTCATATCTCCATCCCAACACGGATTTATTAAGCGCAGGTCTACTACAACAAATCTTTTAGAGCTCACATCCTTCGTGATAAATGGCTTTAAAAATCCTTTTCAAACTGATGTCATTTAAACAGACTTCAGTAAAGCATTTGACTCTATAAATCACTTCCTATTGA